GATGTGCTTCCAGACAGTGTCACGAAGTTTCTCGCTACGTCTCTTGACATGTCATCCGATGCAGTTGATAATCTATGGTACATTGTGAAGGATCTCGTCTGGGAACTGCCAATGAGTGCTGAGACAAGCGCTGAGGATGAAGTTGCATTCAAGCTCCATGGCTATGAACTAGGACTTGGTACTGTGCCCACACATCGCATCATGATTGTCATACTAACCCAACTCACAGTGGGACGCACGCTATATCCACCAGTCAAGACTTGCATCAACCACGACTGCACCACATGGCAGCATGGCACACTGCTGAAGAAAGAGGAACAGCGCCGCATTGTGTTACGCACTCAAATAGATCTGTTAGGCGGAGCCCTAAGAGGGGCGTCGTCCGCTAACGTTCGTGACGTAACCAGAAGGGTCCGGTATAGCAAGTGAACCTGGCGACTGTTACAAGTAACATCGGTCATGTGGCCCCCCTATCATTTTCCCCTCATCCTCGCCCTCACCATCTACCGGCTCGTCCTCCTCTACCGACTTTCCGTTGACCGGATCCTCGGGACCGTTCCCGTCCCTCGCATCATCCGCCTGTATGCACGTGCACGCACGTTCCTCTCTTGATTCGACCACCAATGTGGTCCCGCACCTCTGACTCGGTCTGACTCGTGCCACCAACGTGGCTTTCCTCTTTCTGTTTCCCCTGACTGCGGATTCCCGCACGTTGTATTCTTACCGTTGGTCCGTTCCAACGTTTCTCGGTCTCATTCCACATTCGACCACCCATCACTAATCCGGCTGTGTTGCCAACGCACCTATACCATTCCCGTATCCCCTTTACCCTTACCTACTGTGCGGTAGCCTTGCCCTTAACCCTCTCCACTTAGTATAAGTAGTCGGTCACCTTGTACTAGATTCTCTAACTTGAATCTACTCAATCTTCCCTGGAACATACTTCCCTCAGAAGCCCCCTCAGCTTCTGTCTCTAGTATCTTTTCTTAGTCGCTCCTCGCGACTAAGTCTACCTCGATCGACCTCATCGTTCGGACAAGACTGTCCTTACCTTGAGTGACTTCTCCAAGACATCCGTCTACGAAGTCACGTGACACGCGCGTACTGTGATCGCTGCCGACTCGCCGTCGCCAGTCTCACTTGCTATACCGGACTCTTCCGGTTACGTCACGAACGTTAGCGGACGACGCCCCTCTTAGGGCTCCGCCTAACAGATCTATTTGAGTGCGTAACAGCGACGACGAGTCGGCAGCGATCACAGTATGCGCGTGTCACGTGACTTCGTAGACGGATGTCGTGAGAAGTCACTCAAGGTCAGGACTGTCTTGTCTGGACGATGAGGTCGATCGAGGTAGACTTAGCCGCGAAGAGCGACTAAGAAAAGATACTAGAGACTGAAGCTGAGGGGGCTTCAGAGGGAAGTATGTTCCAGGGAAGATTGAGTAGATTCAAGTTAGAGAATCTAGTACAGGGTGACCGACTACTTATACTAAGTGGAGAGGGTTAAGGGCAAGGCTACCGCACAGTAGGTAAGGGTAAAGGGGATACGAGAATGGTATAGGTGCGTTGGCAACACAGCCGGATTAGTGATGGATGGTCGAATGTGGAATGAGACCGAGAAACGTTGGAACGGACCAACGGTAAGAATACAACGTGCGGGAATCCGCAGTCAGGGGAAACAGAAAGAGGAAAGCCACATTGGTGGCACGAGTCAGACCGAGTCAGAGGTGCGGGACCACATTGGTGGTCGAATCAAGAGAGGAACGTGCGTGCACGTGCATAGAGGCGGATGATGCGAGGGACGGGAACGGTCCCGAGGATCCGGTCAACGGAAAGTTGGTAAAGGAGGACGAGCCGGTAGATGGTGAGGGCGAGGATGAAGGGAAAATGATAGGGGGGCCACGTGACCGATGTTACTTGTAACACATTGTCATATTTACTGACAGCGAGGGCGCAAAACCTGCATGGACAGTGCACTTAAAGTGTCGAGGTGCGTTTGTTGTGCTCTATGCGTATGATAGCCTCATTGACCCGTAATGCCTACGAAGAATGCAATACGAACTACCAGTTCAACTACAGCATCAAGGACCAGCTCCGAACATACTACAGCGGCATCCCACAACACATTCAAGTCTCAGACCATCAATTTGTCGAGCTCAACCTTGCCATGCATTGGATGGACCTCATGCAGATCGCGTCAGTCTCTATTGTTTTTGCCTTTCATGCACTTATTTACTGATACTATGTTAGTGTTTCAGCGACGAACTGTGGTCATTTGTATGGCATTGCCCAGACACGTTGCACTCATGATGACACCGACCACTGGCAATTTGGGAATGTAATCACGACAGAGCAAGTCTGGGACTGCTTTGTAATACTTGCCCTACTCGACGACCATCAACTACGAGGAGAACGCCTGGTAGTGCCGCATGACGGCAACCAGAAAAGTTGCCTTATGCAGGCCATGTATGCACGCAACGCTCGTATTGTCCTCCAGGGTCAGGAGGAGCTCCCTCATACTTGTTTCGGATGCATGCGGATATTGGAGATGCCAGATGGAATGCTTCGCCGTATGGAAGTCATCGTGACTGACGGTGTGACAGTCGGACGGCCATGTTGCGCTGTCGCATGGTGCAAAAATGCTCTCGAGAGCAATCATCATCGTTTCTGTGCAGCAGAACATCGCCACCTCGAGTCGGTCTGTGCTGTGGACGGCTGTAGCGAGCCAGTGATGCCGGTTGGTGCTGATGGGAAGATGCACAAATCTTGCGATGATCCGGTTCATCTTCGAATGGAGGCTGCCAATGTTGAATCCTCGCGTAGTGGCAAGAGCAGAACACAACACCAGAGACTTGTGAAGTTGAATGATTCAATTGCTACGCATAACATTTCTCCCCCGATCATGACTCACACAGAAGAAGACGTCCCCCTTCAAGATGTCGAAGAATGGTATGAGCACGATAATGTGTCTGGTGCTGTGTGCTTCCGTCAGGCGCCAACAACCACATCAACTGGAGTCTCGGATGTCGATGGGTGCGGTGCCAAGGATATCCCATCCAAGATCAAGGCTACATTCCGGCGTCAGCGTACGAACAACGAACAACTCATTGTTTGTCCCTGTGGTATCATCTCTGGTCGTGGTACAATGTACCACCATGAGGCTGTCTCGAATGTGCTGGTAAGTTTGGTTTTCTGTCAGAAGGACTATGCTAACTTATGTTCTTAAGATTATGGTCGAGAAAATGTTCTCCCTCCCATGTGCACGTAAGCCGCGGCACTTGATCTATGACTCCAATTTCAACGCGTTGCGGGAGGTTGAGAGTCGTAAGATTGCGTTCTTCGAGGGAATGGGAATGTGTGTAGATGCCTTCCATCACAAGACAAAGCACAAGGCCAGTGATCTGTTCTGCCGTGAGCGCTGTGACATGAAGGCCTACCCTGAACTCCTCGACGACGACGGGGGGTACTATTTCAACTCATCGATTGCGGAGCAAACAAATGTTTGGTTTGACAGTTTTCACAACATCTGTCGAAAGATGACACCAGTGAAGTATGATTTTTTTCTTGACGAAATGATCCTCCGTCGAAACCGTATGACTGTTGCTACCCTTCGCACACAAGGCAAACTTCCTCACCATCCACATGTTTAATGACCTCCCAATGTATGATATTTTTGTTAGTACATAATAATGGTGCCGTCGAAAATACAGCGCAGCTTCTCTCAGCGCGAGTTAAAAATGAATCAGTACTAGCAGTAACCCGTGGTTTTTGCCCAAGTAAAACTAAAAGTGCACTGTAGGGATTAATCTCTAAGCAAAAACAGGCATCACACATCATATTAGAGATGATTATCATCGAGAAAATGTCTGAATGAAGCAACTTCCCAGTGTTGCTGCCCTATGATTTTTGTTGAAGGTGCTCGATCGAAGATGATGTTTGGATAGTTTAGTGGGCAGCCCCAAGCTTTCTTGAAGTAGTCCTGCACTCGCGCTGAGAGAAGCTGTTATGAATGTGATTCATATGAATACCTACCTTGACCGTTGTGTTCTCGAACTCACTTCAAAACCACACCGATCCAAAATTGTTTACAAAACAATTTTGGATCAGTGTGGTTTTGAAGGCGCTCGAAGACCTTGATCCTCCTTCAAGGGTTCTTCACCACACCGATCTAAAGTTGTTTATGAAACAACTTTGGATCGGTGTGGTTTTGAAGGCGCTCGAAGACCTCAATCCTCCTTCAAGAGTTCTTCATATCCCTCCTGCTATCCAACATCATCTTCGAGCAGGCCGGTGGACGAGCGTGACAGAAACGCCCTTGAAGAAATTCTTAAACTGCCTGAACTGCGAGGAATCTGAGTGTGTGACGGCCAGTAGGGTTCGGACAAAGCAATGGATAGTAGGCGCTACATAAAACAAGTGTATATAGAACAAACGTAGGTGCTACATAAAACAAGTATAGAACAAACCGAGGGACAATACTTTGACACTACTTCTGCCGGCTATGTTTCTTGCTCTCCAGACCCAAGGCAATGCAGTGCGCAGCAAGACAGTTTGACCAAAGGCCATCTTGAGTGCGCCTGCTTTGCTTGTGTGCCTCGAGGATGGTCAGTGGCGTCTCGCGCCACGCCTTGCGATTTTCATGATATGTGGCCTTAACAAACGGAGTGTCACCAAAGATGAGATGAAAAAGCTGCTCCTGACCATAGTTACGGAACTTTGGGATGTCCATCTGCTGAAAGCTGACAACCATATCAACTGTGTACATTCCCTGTGGCCAGACTCGTTGTGGCTTGCCACGATCATATATTGGGACATGCACAGGAATGATGGACGGAGAAGCCTGAGCTGACTGGTGAGTTTCCAAAGGTGGCGCTGGTTGCCGAATGTCATTGACTGCAACTGATGCAGACGTCGAAGGCGCAGACTCAATGGATGAGGAGAATGTTGATGTCACGAGCAGTGGCATTGGTGACATTGAAGTAGCGCGACGGGAATTGAAGTCATCCTCTGGTGGTTGACTGGGGAATAGTGATGGTGTCGGCGACATTGAGTGGGTATCTCGTGCCAGTCGCACTCGTGTAGTAATGTGCATCTCTTGTTCTTGGCCAGAGCTTTGAGGCCAGCGGCGCTTTCCCAAGGACACCTTGGGTGTAAGTTGCGCCTCGTTGTCCAGAATCTCGATGTCCGATGATGAAGCGGCAATGGATGTCTGTTGTCGCTTTGTCTTCTTGAGCTCAGGTGTAAGTTGCATGTCGTCATCGAGAATCTCGACATCCGATGATGAAGCCAGGGTGGATGCCTGTCGTTGCTTCATCTTCTTGCGTATGCTATCACGCTCACCCTTCATATTGAAGCGCATGTGAGAAGGGCAAGTCAACAGTTTGGAAGACTTAAATAACTCATCGAAGCTGCTGCACTCAGTGACACCATGACGTCGTATGAAGATGTGGCAACCCGAGTCAAGAGTGAAGGGGTGAGCGAGCGTTGACGGAATCCAACACATGAAGCTTTCCTCAAAGACGTCGATTTTTGAAATATTGCTGCCAAGGGAGTTGACAAGGGCGGGATCATCTGAGAGCTGATATTGTGGGAAGTATGGGTAGTGAACAGCCCACTGCATCAACACTGGCGTGTTGTCCTACACATCAGCAGTAAGTATTGTGGCGAAAGGGAAACCAAGAAGTAACTCACAGCATCAAACCAGTACAAGACAAAGCGCTGCCTGGAAGCTCGTTCCATCTCCTTGCGACATTCTGACACCCTCTTGCTCTCAATTTCCTCTCGCGCACACGCATTGAGGTCACCTGTCCACATTGGGTCAAGTTGATCGGTTACATGCGGAGGCTTTGACAGCTTATGAACCGGGAAGGCGTGTGGAGCTAAGGCATCACCATGCTGAGAGTGCATTGGCAGCTGGGTGATTTGCGACAGAGGGGGCAGATGAGACTGCTGGGATGGCGCAGGTGGTTGCAATAGTGTGGGTGGTTGCGATGGCGCGGGTGGTTGCGATGGCGCGGGCAGTTGTGTTGTCGATGCGGGTGGTTGCGATGGTGCAGGAGCTATCAAAATATCATGAAATGATGGGAACACAGCAGGCCGTCCAGCGCCAACAGACTGGAGTGCACGTTGAAGTGCTCTCAGCCCGTCGTTCGTCTGAACTCCATCCTCATGCCATTAGGGCTCAGCAGGGAGCGCGAGAGTATCCTCAGCAGGGAGCGTAAGAGTATCCTCCTGATCATAGTCCCAATTCCACTCCTGCTGCGCGATAGGGTGCTGCTGCTGGTTATCTGTCTCAGTGAGGTGCACTGGACATCCTCCTGCCTCCTCGATACAATGGGTGAGGCACTTCACATGCGGGCAACGCAGCGCGCTCGCTCGTTGGCAAAAGGCACCGTTGCATTTGATGCCTCGCTTGCGTGGCTCCTTGCCATTGCCAGTTGAGGCAAGAGGTTGTGTTGAAGGGAATTGAGTTGCGGAAGCAGCACTAGTGCCGCTCGTGAAGGTAGAAGGTGCCGGGTGAGAACTGGTGACACTTGGGGAACAACTTGATGATGGGAGGAGGGCCATGATGTCTGGATGCGATAGAATTTGAGGGAACCAGCGGAAGAAGGAACATGATTGATGCTGGCAAGAAGGGTTAATAAAAGGGTCAATAACTCATGCGGATAACACACCCTTGCCATCGGCTTCCCCGAGTTCCCATTCGCATCGCTCCGACATATGGTGATTGGAACTGTACCCCCACAATTCGTGCAATCGGTGACAAGGCCAACTGCAGATTCACGCAGAGCCAATCTGGCCAGGAATGCGACATCTGCCTGTTGCAAGGAAGACATTGTGATAAGCGCTATCAAGAGTATGTAGGCGATGGCAGGTAAGAAACAAGTTGGGCGAGGAGGAAAGATGGGCGGGAGAGATGAGGCAGGATGGGCGATGAGCGACCATGATATGGTCCATTTTGATCGGAGCACGAACATAGCATGCCAACTGCATGTGGTGGGTTGACTGGCGGGTGCGTCGGCAGCCATCTACGACGGGCACACTACTGCTGACAGCAGGCGCGATGGCGGGCAGCTTTGGAATTGTCACAAAGCAAGCACGTGACCAAATACAATTCAAACTCAGCCCGGGTCAGCCGCATTTGCCGAGCGCCCCAGACTCTGGCCCCAGACTCCGCCCCAGACTTTGGCCCCAGACTGGCCCCAGACTGGCCAGATCTCTGACATTCACCCCCACTCTCAAAAGACATGCGACTGCAGCTGGTCACGAGTCTAGTTCGCGATCGGGTTGCTCATCTTGTTCCCAAATGACCATGCCCACTATATAAATCATTATATTATAAACCAGCTAACGACTAGTGCCTATGTTATTCGCACGGTCTGCACCTGGGTACGCCAGCATCCCCAAAACTTGAAGTAAGTACATGTTAGTCCTAGGCTAAACCTCAGTGCTCCGAGTCAGCCATGGCATCCCACTCTTTCAATGTCGAACCAAGGCCACATGATGAAATCGTACAGCTGCTCCACTCTGATTCACAGCACATGTACATTCGCGGTGAGCGTCCCATACTTTTTCGATTGTTTTTTGCTAAGCAAACCCATACAGAACCGGCTTTGTGTAACCCGTTGGCATGCAAGGGCTCTAACGCCACAAGAATTTTCAAGTCTCAAATCTTGATCATCAGTCGGAATTCTGAGGTGTCGGTGTTATCTCGGGCGTCACTATAGTAGCTGGTTCATGCGAAATACAAACAGCGTTCCAATCCACATTTTCACTTGGGCTACCCTACGAAAGCGTGAATCAACAGAAGGGCATCAACTGTATGATGATTAAGTGTGGCATGTTTTGGATTGGTTTTTATTGGAATAAATATTGATGGTGTGTATTGGCAGCCGTATGTTTCGGTGAGTGATTCCCTCGACTTCTTCAAATCTCTAGATTTCTGATGGTGTGCCAACAGAATATCATCGCCTTCAACCGTTGCGCATCCGAGCCATCATTTTCTCTCATTTTCTCTCTCAATCCACCCTTGATATAGGGGTGGTGATATACCTTCATACGTCACGGAATCTCAACCAGGAGGAAGTCCGGTGAAACCCGATACCTCTCATCACCGCACCAACTCCATGGACCACGATACAAATCAAATATTCTGGGCTGACCACTTCTGGTATCCAGATCATACGATGGCCCAATTTTCGAGGCGGAGAGCAAGAGCGTGCGCATGAAGCGACAGATGACCTAGGGACGAGATGAGACAATGAAGCAGGGTGGTATCGGCTCACAGGGTAAGATGCGAATTTGTTTGTATTGTGTCAATCTCCGCTATCTTTGACAGCTGACTTTTCTGGCCTGGCGTCATGCTGACGCAAATGTGCATTTGTTGAGTGACCTTGAATGACTCGGACATCAGCGGGTTGGATTGTATTATAGAACACTACAGAATGCTACAGAGCGCTTTGTAGCACTCTGTAGTGAATTACGTTTTCCTGATGGAGGTGTTATGCTCCCCGGGCCTGTGCTGGCAAGGCAATGGCAGGTTTTCCGATGGTCGCACCATGATCAGTATGTGCCAAACAGATGAAATAGTATTTAATTTCATCGATGGACTGATGCACGTGTAGCAAAAACATCTCGAGAATGGCGTGAAAACCAAGGCGACAAGATCACGAACAGTTCTTGATGTTGTTCGATCTTTGCGGAGCTCAAGTGGTTCGCTCGATCAGATGTTTACGACCAACATCTACTACGATCTCCTGGATTGATTTATCTTTCCCCATTCAAAATATCCAATTCGACCAATCAAAGCAGGAACAGTCATCATCTCCCGATCTCGTTTCGCCCATCTACTTACCGGATGGTGGTATAACTAGCACGAATGCCATCGTCTTACGTCCACCAAGTTCGCCTCTCACCCACACCTATTCTCTACCAATATGACCGTAGTCTCCAATGATCCCGCTTGGTGGTCGGCCATCAATGCAGGTCGTTTAAGCAGCTATTTTGTAGGTTCGTGGAGAGTAGTCGGATGTTGAAGCTGACGCAATCTAACATTAGCTTTTGTGTCGCAGTCGCCGCCTTTGTTGTAGTGATGTATGATTGGGGTGAGCATGATAACATTAAAAGACTGCTGACGTCTTACGATTACTTTCAGCACTTACATTCGGACAAGAGGTATGTTGATGGTATGACCGGAGCAGCCATCTCGCTGAGAACCGTTTTATAGGTGGAATTGATCTGGGTGAGCAGAGTCTGGTGTCAGAGGAACACGCATGAAAATACACTCGATTCCAGAGACAACGATGGTCTGTAATGACAGTTATGTATCTCGGTGTATGTAGCTTGTTTGTCGCGGTTGCCATGTTGTGCTGACTTGAAAGTATCCTAGGCGCGTTACCTTGGAATCTTATACGCTACGTATGTTCAGAAGGCCACACAATCGGTGTTGTGCTAATCGTCTATCTCTCATAAACAGCCTGAACATTATGAGTATGCCCCCTTAGTACATTCGCTGTCTGTGCTTATCCTGACCAATGACATATAGTGAGTGTTCCGACTATCTCATTGACAGACATGGTAAGTCTTCTGCACAGATGCTTTCTATTCCCCTCCAATTAACCGTGGTGCCCTGTAGGAGTGGGTGTGGTTCTTTGCTAACTTTTTAGTTCACTAATGACTGCCATGCTATATTGCCACAGATGTGAGTCTGTTTGGCGTGTGTGCTACCCGGGGCCGATCTCTAACTGGATTCGTCAGGCTGGATTACATACACCGTATGGGATTGGACGGGCGTTGTGGTATTTGCGATGCTATGGGGTGAGCTTTGCACTTGCGAAACCTCGGTGATATTGACTTGACTGAAACATGCTGCAAGTCATCATCATCACTCGGTTGCATGCGATGTATGAAGGATCCAGAAAGATCCTGATATTTCTCATTGTCGCCTTCCTGGCTGTCAACACTTTCGGTGCAGTGTCCACCATAATGACAACAATGCATACTTCAGGGGGTGGGTTTAATTGTGAATTAAAATAAACGTGGATTGGGCTCATTGATGGTTACCAGAGGAATTCATTCTCTCTAGCACTTATCAGTGCCAGATTAACTATCCGGAAGATGTCCAACTTGTTATGTCTGTGACTTGGATGCTCGGCACTGTATGGGAGGTCCTCGTGCTATGCCTCGCATTCTGGATTGCAGTAAAACACTTACGTGAACGGCGACAACATTCGGCAGGAGGGGTTATCGAGGACTGTTTCACGGTATTGATGAAAACTCATATACTTTACTTTGCGAGGTAAGCTCATATTGTGATTATTGTTCCTTTTTCCCACTGACGTGTCGGACGTCGTAGCTTTGTTGCTGTTTCTTGCTTCCATCTCGTTCTTGATTTTTATCCAACATTCTTCGCGGTATGTCAATCTTTCACTTGGCTATGCACGCTACCACAATTTATCGTTTCTATAGAGCAATTCCCTGGATCCTCTGATTATTGTTGGGTTTATTCAGATTTTGGAGGTCGTGCAGATATTTGTGCTGGGACCGCGCCTGATCCTTGGTATTCGAGAATACCACGCTAGGCTCGTTGCCAATTCTGACGTAGCGACTGGTATGACCTCAATCGCTTTCCAGGAGCGCGTGGAAATATCGACTGGTAGTGGTGTGTGATAATCGGTGGAGTTAACGGTTGTCTGGTGCCCTCCAAAGAGTAGGGAAATTTGCTTTTATTTACTTTGAAGTATTGATCGAAGCTATTTGGTGTTCCAAAGTAGATTTCAAGGAGACATAAAGTTTTCGTCGTATTGTCTAGTCAAGTGATCTGCTATACGTGCTGAGTCTGCTGATAATGTTTAAATCGATGAATTATAATATCTCTACTGGCACTAGCTGCCACCCACACTTGCACCAACCACCGGTTCTTATTTTCTCTGTGCGATGACAATCTTTGATATGATTGCTTAGGCAGCCCACGAGAGAAAAGTCGAGGGACAGCGCACTGCTTCAGTCCCTCAGCAATCCATCCTCAATTCATCTTCTCGCCTCATTCAATATCCTACCTTGTTTTCTCACCTAACTTCTCCACTGGACATTATGTATTTATTTTAGCCTCAATTTGTGACATTGTGTGACGTCCTGGCGTATCCGTTATTGCCAGAAGTTAGAACGCCGCACGAAGTGCGAACGATATGTAAAGGACTCTGATCAGACGGTTTTTGTTCATTATTGTCTGTTTATGGACTTGTTATGGACGTCGATGATTGATGGTATCCATGATGCGTGGTCGGTGCTACTCTCAATGTGATATTTTGTTTCGACTTACAACCCTGTACATTTCCGAGTCTCCACCGACACTTCCCATCTGTGGCACTACCCATTGTTCCCATTCCTATGATATAACAGCCCAATCACCGGGCCAGGAGACTGCGAGATAACAAATTGCACATAAGGCGACGATCAATTCCTGGAGTGAGAATTTGGGCGAGCGGTGCACGGGATTAAGCCTTGAACATTCAAACACCGAACTCAATGTGGAGGGTACGTATTTGCAGCCCAGAGAGATGTGAGTTGACTGTTACCTTCTTCTTCATTTCTGACTTTCTAATGACGTGCCAACAGGCAGTGACGCTAATCTGGAGCACCATCATCAATATTTCATAGCATGAGCCTGTACAACTTCAAAGCTTTCTGTAGTCGTAATGGTAACGCCTAGCCCGGGGTATTCTTCTCTCCCGGTTCCTCTCATTTCCGTTTGTATTCTAGGTATAGTACTATTAGGAATGAAATTCGCGCTCCAGGTGGTCTATCTGTGCGCCCAGCATTACAAATTCCGTTCCTATCCATGTGGTGAGTCATTAGTGCCACTTGGACGAAAACAAAGTGGCATACTAGGATGCTGTTCAAGATGGTACTCCAAAGTGGCCTGCACAACTGCACACGCGGCGACTAATCCCCGGAGGAGCGAGGATTTGGGCGGAATGAGGAAAGCAGCGCATGGGGTTAAAGTTAAACGGTGAATGGTTGTTATGCTCTCCGCGCGTCCATTATGGATCATCAATCAGGCTGTGATGACAATTGATGCAAATTGAGTATGGTGAGCTTTGAATCAGTTCTGTACCTACTGTTTAATGGACATCCTTGTGATACGATAGGCCAATAACCGAGTTGGAGTCCCGAGGGCTAGAAGGCGTGCATCGGAAGGTGGCACATACTTAGAACACGGAGGAGTAGGGGTATTGAAGTTGTGCTTGAAGAGGTTGTACAGATGAGTTATCTCTCTGCTTCATCTAGACTTCCCTGGTTTTACATTCCAACAGAAGCTCACCTCGTTGAAACGACCTTGGAGATGCTGTCACATCCGGGCCTGCGAAGCGAAGACTGCTAATACTCATCGAGAGCCATTCAAGGCCGTTGTCAGACAAAGTTGTACATCGGGTCTCATGTAGAGAGGTGGTGTGCCTTGATAGCTGTGTGGTCAGGGTGAGTCATTAGAGCCCCGGGGAAGAAATGCTGCTGAGGCTCGTCGATCAGGTTTTACAACATCAGCGAACAAAAAGTCAGGCTTCATGTGGTATAGTAACAGCGCTCCCGGCTCTTCTTTTTCCATGTCCTATCTTAGCACTGTCTTAATCTAGGAATGGCATAGTATCTTCACCAGATATCAATCATGGTTCTCAACCAGGATGTCTCCGGCTATGCAAACTGACGCCTGTCACCACTGCAGCTCAATTAGTATGTGTCTGGCGGTGCAAAATGATGCCTGTCGCCACTACACCCAACACCACATTGCAAATTGAAGATTCTGCACTCACCGTTTTGGGCACCCCTATGATACAGAAGTCCGATTATCAAGGCAAAGAGCCAAAAAGTATGTATGCATGTTGAAATCTTTTGTTCCGCCCATGCAACTGCTTCACGACCAACATCTATGTCGAGCACCGCGCCCGGATTGGGTTCAACTTTCTTCATGTGAAAATACTTGCTTTAGGTGATTAATGGAGGAACCTCTCGATCTCATTTCGGTAATCCAAACACATGATTGTGGTATATCTAGCACGAATGTCACGGGCATATGTCCACCAAGTTCGCCTCTCACACATATCCATTCTCTACCAATATGGCCGTAGTCTCAAACGATCCCACTTGGTGGCCGGTCATCAATGCATTTCGTGTTTTAGGCTATTTTTCAGGTTCGTAGAGAGCAGTCGGATGTTGAAGCTCATGTCTCAGTCTAAACTTGGCTGCGGTTTCGTAGTTGCCGCATTCGTTGGAGTGACGTATGATTGGGGTGAGTATGATAATATTGAAAGACTGCTGATATCTTACAAGTATTCTCAGCACTTACGTTTGGACAAGAGGTATGTCGATGCTATGACCGGAGCAGCCATCTCGCTAAGAATGGTTTTATAGGTTGAATTGGTCTGGGCGAGTAGAGTCTCATGTCCATGTCAGAGGAACGCAATGGAAACTTGACACTTAATTGCAGAGACAACATTGGTCCCTGATGACAGTTCTGTACCTGGGTGTATGTAGCGTGTTTGTCGTGATTGCAATGTTGTGCTGACTTGAAAGTATCCTAGGTGCGCTACCTTGGATTCTTATATGCTGCGTATGTTCCGAAAGTTAAACAATCAGTGTTGTACTAATCGCCTGTATCTTATAATCAGTCTGTACATGTTGAGTATGTCTCCCAAGTACATTCCTACCTTCGCTGCTTCTGACCAACGACATACAGGCTTTGTTCCGACTGCCTTGATGCCAGTGACAGATACAGTGAGTCTTCTGCACAGGTGCCTGTTATTCCCTTCCAATTAACCGTAATGCCTTATAGCAGTGGGTGTGATTCTTTATTGGATTCTTCACTCACTAGTAATGACCGCCACGCTATACTGCCACAGATGTGAGTCTGTTTGGAGTGTGCTACCCGAGGCTGGTTGCTGACTGGATTTTTCAGGCACGATTATCTACGTCGTATGGAGTTGGATGGGTGTTGTGGTATTTGCAATGGTGTGGGGTAAGCTTGATACTACTTGCGAGACCTCAGTGTTCTTGACTTGACTGAAACATGCTGCGAGTCATCATCATCACTCGGTTGTATGCCATGTATCAAGGATCCAGAAATATCCTGATATTTCTTATTGTCACCTTCCTGGCTATCAACATCTTCGATGGAGTGGCGGCCGTAATATCAACGATACATATTTCAGGGGGTACGCTTATTCGTGGATGAAAACAAACATGCATGGGGCTCAATTATTAACACCAGAGGAGCTTATTCTCTCCGGCACTTATCAGTGCTCGATTGGTTATCCGGAAGATGTCCTACTTCTGGATTCCATTAGTTGGATACTCGGAACTGTGTGGGAGGTCCTCGCACTGTGCCTTGCAGTTTGGATTGCGGTAAAACACTTCCGTGAACTGCGACGGCATTCGGAAAGAGGGATTATCGAGGACTGTTTCACGGTGTTGGTAAAAACTCATGTGCTTTACTTTGCCAGGTGAGCTCATATTGTTATTATGGTTTCCTTTTTCCACTGAAGGGTCGGACATGGTAGCTTCTTTGCTGTTTCTTGTCTCCAGCTCATTATTGATTTATCCTCCAACACTCTCAACAGTATGTCAATTTTTCACTTACCTCTGCGTGCGACCATGATTCATCATTTCTATAGGACCAAAATTATCTAGAATCTTTGTATGGCTTGGTTCAGGTTTTGGAGGTCGTGCAGATGTTTGTGCTGGGACCACGTCTGATCCTTAGCGTTCGAGAATATAACGCCAAGGTCGTGGCCAATTCCGACGCAGCGACCGCCATGACCTCGATCGCTTTCCAGGAGCGTGTGCATATATCGACTAGTAGTAGTGTTTGATGCTCAGTGTTGTATAGTGCTCTGAAAGGAGCAGGGAAGTTTGTTTTTATTTAATCCCACTTTTGTAATGGTATTGATGAAGTGTATTTATTGGTGTTCCGAAGTAAATATCAAGGAGACATGGGTCTGGACAATGTTTTTGTCGTAGTATTCAGTTAAGTGATTTGCTATATGTACTGACAATGTTTAAACCAATACCCTGGATATTTCTAGCTGTCCACCCGCACTTGTCTCGATTCATCTTCTAGCCTCATTCGAAAACTTGTGTTCTCACCTGACTCACGTTCGTGCATTCGATGCATGTGAACCAGACCTATTACCACGCCGGCGGACGTGCAGGGTGGAGCTTGAAATCTTGATGCGCCATAGAAGGTTTACATTAGTACGGAGTTTGCGAAGAGAACGTGTCGTGGTATGAGTGGTGCTTGAACCAGCCTGAATGTCAATGAGGCTCGAATGATGGCACAGTTGGAGCTTGGTGTTATATAGTTGGGGCTCCCTCTGGCAGGCAAGTTAAAAAGGTCGCAAGCCATCTTAGTCACCCTCGCCGTCAGCGACAACCCAAATCATCTGTGCCATGGGCCGTGCTTTGACTATTACTAGATGCCTGCAAGTGACCGCCGTGATTTCAGTGATAAAATTAAGTACTCGGCGTCCGAGTTCCAATGCACAGGCACGTGATCGCGTCATCGTTAATTAGTATTAGCCTGAGTGTCATCGATGTCATCACCAACCTCATGTCCACCACACAGTCTACACCTACATCCCCAACGGCCCAACGTGTGAAGTCAGCTCCTAGAGTGGTCTCATCTCCGCTGCGACCAACGTCTCCCCAAAGCTCTTCAACCCTAATTCCGTCCAATTCTCGTCGATCCTCGCTTGGTGTTGGACAAACGCCTCGGACAAAAACACCTCCAGGGCCTCTTGCAAAGTCTCGTGCTAGAGATCTCTTGAGGAAGCACTATGGCCTCGGAGTAGGGCCACCACCACCTATACCTGGGAGATCAGATGACCCCATGGATCTAGGTGTGTTTTGAAAGTCATCAAGTTCTCAAGCTCGATTCTCACCATGCTACTGAAGATTCAGCAGCCTTTGACGCAAAATCATACTACGAACAACTTATAACTGCATCATCTTTGTCGGCTCTACTGAAGCGAGAGAATGACCTACTGACAGGTTCGTGTCGTCCAAGATCGTGTGATACGTCTGCTCATGGACTCGGATGTTTAGAAATACGACAACTTGACGGTGATAGGCAGTCTCTGGTTTACAACCACCATCATGAGCTGATTGCAGCTAGTGATACAATAGCTGCGGTGTGTAAATTTCCAAGGTGCATCTTTGTGTAGTCTCATTTTTCTGTAGATGAAGACACGGGCGGAGGGCTTGGACGCGGACCTTGACCTACTTAAAGCAGCGTTCTCGGAAATATCTCGCTTGGGTGCCAAGGTTTCCATTGAGGAACAGCCTCAGCATGCAGATGGGAACTCCGATTCATGAGTGCCTCCGCGGTCATCGCTGCAGCGCTGAGCGCTGAGGATACGGCCTCGGCCCCACAAATATACATGACGTAACAAAGGTGTTTTTTTATTTATACAGGATACCCGCAAGCTCCAGGCTTGCAACGGTACAATATAACTATATGGAATAATGATACGCGAATCCAGCACGTTGTCCCCATCAAGCCTTCACATGAAGTTCCACCTGCCAGTTGGAGCCCGATTCGTGGACAAGGCTAGTGATTAAACAGTCTCTCCAAATACTGGGCACCCCACGGGGCCTCCACTCAACCTTGTATTTCTCGTATCCTTTTTCTACATGTATGGATTTGCGCTGCACAGGTTAATCAGTACCAACAAAAAAGGTGAGCACACTTGGACGTACGTGGATATTCTGCACGAGGTCTTCAACGTACTTCGCCAACAACTTGAGCAACTTCTCTCTCTTGAGAGTTCCATTATCGGTGCAGATACGCCTTTCCACAATTAATTGACTGTACCCAGGCCACTGCAACGGAAAAAGATCAAATTAATTACTGCGAAAAAGTGGTCTGGGCTTTCAACTTACCGTGATGAAAACCTTGATAAACCTATCTCCTATTCCGCTAAACACCTGATCATGGCCTCCTTCCACCTCTGGTTTATCTTCGAGCTCGACCAGCTCGTCGACACGGAAGGCCATCCCTCCACCCTTCTTGTTGAATTTGATGGCAGCGTGCTGGGATCCAATCCTGCACCACGATTTCGGGGACGCAGATGTGTCAGTGACAACGGGCTGCGGGAGCCGATGGAATCCTGAAGGAACAACAGTCTTGTACATCTTTTTGGGCGCAGCGGGTGGCATATTGGCCATGTATTTGGCGGGGTGCAAAACATTCCTCTCAGGGTATGGGTAAGGCGAGCGGGCAGACTTTGGAAATTAGAAAGTAATAATGGCGAGTGTTTTACGTGGACTTACAGATGACCCTTCGTAGCTGCCATTGAACGCATATGGGACAGCTGAATATGGCGAGATGGATGCCCCCTACAAATTCATAACACGTAAATCGATTGCAAGTACCTCAACACGCGTCACTTACGGTACATACGGGGGCTCGTGACCGAATATATTGGTGTGATTGTGCATGTGCAGGACCGAGGGCACCTGAGAGGTCCGGGTTTGACGATGTCTGGGCACGTATATACTGGGAGATGGGTATTCCCTACAAATTGTGAGATGAGTCAGGAGGATGACAAAAATCTATAAGCATAGTCCTACATTATCGGGGGTACTAGCATTCGGCCGATACGTTGACTGAGCCGATGCAGGGTCAAGTGCGCCGGACAGTGTGGAGTAGGATGACGCTTGGGAAATTTGTCTAGCATCAGGGAATGCAAAAGGGTACGGGTAAGCCATGGTTTTACTTGGAGAAGATAGACGATGATAGTAACTTACCTGTCCTTGGCACCTATGCAGGTATTTTATAGCACTTGTCGTCAAAGCGCTCTCCACATCCACCAGCATCCAGGAGAATCCACCAGCATCCACAGCAACTTTACAATGGCGTGCTGTGATTGTATATGCCAGTACTGTGGAATTTCGCGATAAGATTCAAAAGGAATAGTGGATCGACATGTTTGTGGGAGGTGGTAGAGTGGCGTCTTTATCATGGCATCTTGCACTGGAGGTACCGTGACTGCCACCCACAATCAGCAGGTGATTGGCAACTTGCAGGAACGTGAGCGTTGCCATGATATACTTTTTTTTCGAATGCTGTGGCTTGCATCTTTGAAGCTGAAGGGGAAAAAATATGAAAAGAAAGAAAGCTACTCGTGCCCCATAAGGTAATCAACCTGAGTTTTGTCGGAGTCAACGGAGCTCGGGAAACGACGGATGTCTTGGGACTCTTGAAGTAATTTGTGGTTACGAAGCTCCTTCAGGCAACTGCAGTACTGCTTTCACTGTACAGTGCCATCGTACTTGTACACGCATTTTGGGTGTGGTGGCAAAGGTGATGGTGGCATCAAGTATAGTTCATGTGAGGAATCACTTACGAAGCACACCGTCCTATGTAAACGCCATTATCACAGTAGCCTGAGTAATGATGCTACTAATGGCAGGAGTTGAGACTCGATTATAGGGTGTAGCCCCTCCGCAGACAGATATGTCATTCCGGTAAATTGGCTGCATGTAATCCTGTAAAATCATAATCAGTTGGCAAGTCCCCCCTACCAATCATTGACTCTGGTCAAAGTTGCGCGCTATTGGGCTGACGCCTATAGTGAGTTTCACAATCCAATCAACCAAAGAAATTTGTGGATATCCGGACTGTTCGAATGAACACGGGTAGGACAGACGATTTACCCGGCCCCCGTCTGCAAAATAAAAATTTAGTGATCGAGGCTCCCGATCCACAGTCCGAATGTTCAAAGTCTACTAGAGCGCTCGCCGCTCAGGCAATTAATCTCCTTTGACCGGTCATATGGTGGTCACCGACTGGTACGGCAATGCGATGCTCTCCATCGTCCGGCTACTAGCTTGAGTTTTACTGCAAAATGTCTTGCCCCCTCCCCCTTATTCATGCTTGCACGGGTACTCACTTGAACTTGAAAATAAACTTTCAAAAGAAGTGTTTCAATTACATACTAATTGCTATTTTTAGACCAGACGCATAACGGACGCCTGTGGCTGTGTTTATTGAATACTGTGAAGTTTGAACCGCAGTGACTTGTCACTGTACTTGCTGAAATTTGTTCCTACCTCTGCTTTTATGGCTTTCTCTCAGGTCGTTAGCGCACTCGACAGTCTTAAGGATCAAGCAAAAGACGCTATCTGGGCCCTTTCTTCATGTCTCTGCCAGCAATCAGCCAAAGTAAAAATTAATGGCCGAACGTGTCAGTCATACCCTTTACAACGAATCTAGAACATTCGTTTGCACCTAGCAGGCTTGCTAACGTGGTTTTTATGATCTCAGTTAATATCATAAAAGTCCTCGGCGAAGGTGGATTCTCCTTTGTGTATCTAGCACAAGACGAGATTAGTGGGGTACGCGATCTCACGAGTTCGTTCCTTACAACATTTCACATATGGTTGGTGTACATCTAGCGGCAATTCGCTCTCAAAAAGATAAGATGTCCTACTGGATCGGAGGGTGTGAAGGAGGCTATGCGGGAGGTAGAGGCATACAGACGTTTCAAGTAAGTCAACTTAGTGACGGTTACCTAGCTGTCTTAAGTATGCTCTCAGACACCGAAACATCATCCGGATACTTGTGAGTGACAACGGATCATCTTCATGTAGCTCCTGAATAACTGCACAGGACTCTGCTGTCGTTCAAGATCCCGAAGGTGAAGGCAAGATTGTCTACCTCTTCCTGCCGTTGTATCAGGTATGTTTTAGGCGTGCTTTACTATGGAACACCCGTAGACCTTTTGTGATAAGCGCGGGAACCTTCAAGATGCTATCAACCTCAATGTCGTGAATGGGAAGCACTTTCCCGAGCAAGATATGATTCGGCTGTTCAAGGGGACATGCGAAGCCGTGCGCGCCATGCATGATTATCACACAACTACTGGCACTTCTTCCGCTCAGCCTCAGCCTTCCTCGTCAAGTTCATCCTCGCGCGCGGAGGAGAACCATTCTGACGGAGAGGATGAGCTTTTCCCGCAACCAGAGGGCGACAGTGAGGGTGGCTACTCTTACGATAAGTCCGTAAACATGCCCTTAATGACAAAACATCGTGTCGAGGGGGATGGGGATGTGATATTCGATGGTGACGAGGAAGCATCTGCAATTCAAACCGCTCGAAATGGCCAAGTGCCTCAGGGAAAGAGCGAACACATTCCATATGCCCACCGGGACTTGAAACCTGGGTAAAATACTGTTGATATGTTGCAATTGCACCTCTGACATTTACATAACAGGAACATCATGATCGCGGACGATGGAGTCACACCCATACTGATGGACTTTGGGAGTACTATAAAAGCAAGAATAAAGATAGATAGCCGATCACTGGCGCTTCTACAGCAGGTATATGCAGGTATATATTTATCACTTTGTTTGATCTCACATTCATCTCACAGGATATTGCCGCGGAACAAAGCACCATGGCATACCGCCCTCCAGAACTTTTCGATGTGAAAACGGGCGTCACTCTTGACGAGAAAGTTGACATATGGGTAGATCTTCCTGTTGCCGTACACGCATTCTCTAACTCTTCACAGTCACTTGGATGCACTCTCTTCGCTCTTGCATACTCACACTCGCCATTTGAAAACATCCAAACGACGGAGCAAGGTGGCTCGATTGCGATGGCTGTACTGAACGCTCAGTATAAGCACCCGAACTCGGCATATTCACAAGGGCTGAAGGACTTGATTGATAGTATGCTGAAAGTTAATCCTAAAGACAGACCGAATATTCACCAGGTATGTGTTTCCGGTAGGAGTATCAACGTTGCTGAAAGAATCCCCTAGGTCATTACAATGACTGACAGAGTACTACAGTCGCTGTTGTAGAGCACTACGCTATACCTTCATGACTAGGACTATGTTCCTTTACTTATTTATTTGGCAGTTCTATGCATATCTAACGGGATCATTGTGACGTGGACTGATCGGTACATATTGCATGCCTACTTCAAGAAGCCCTAGCTGTTATCCGTTCTTTTTGACGAGGCGCCTTCGGTTTTCTGAGAGGTTTCTCCTGCGACCGTTTTGGAGATTGCGGTGGAGCAGAGGGGGTTGCAACTTGATCCTTTTGCACCTTGCGCTTTTTCTTTTGAGGTTCCGATAGCTTCTGGGGCGATGGATCCGATTTTTCTACGTTTTGAAGTTCAGAAACGGGGGGCTTCCGTTCTCTTTTCTTTACTGTCCTTTTGTCGCTCAGCGAGGCGTCGGACTTTTCTACGTCGTGAACTTTTGCACCGGTGACCTTCTGCTCCGCTTTCTTCACCAACTTTTTGTCGCCGGTTGCAGCTTCAGCTTTTTGCGACTTTTGCCTCTCAATCGTCTTTCTTGCTGGTGATTCTTTCCCTGCTGCATCCTGGGATGATGAAACTTTTTCGACGGCCTTTTTTGCCTTTGCCTTGGCACGAAGCTTATTGTGAAGAATCCGCTTCTCTTTTATTGATGCTTGCTTCGCTGACTGAAAACCCAGCATTAAGAAAATTCGCCTCGAAAAATAGCGTGATACACCACTCACTCTTTTGAGGGCACGCTTCGACAGTCCGGCATCAGGACGATTCTCAGTACCAGTAGGATTCGACGCCTCCTTTTGTACCGTCCTTGCAATTTTCCAAGCGTCACTCTGGGGATCACTTTTCGCTGCGAAGGTCTTGAAACGCTCGAAACGTCGTACATGAGCCTGCGGCAGCCTGAACTTCCGTCTTTTTTCAGTTGCATGTTCAGAGAAAGGGACATACAGTAGATGCTTTGTGGACTGTCGACATTTGAGTGCTCTTGATGACCTTGCCCTTGCATAATATACAAGCTCGGACATCTGGGTCGAGCGACACGATATAAACGGGGTCCCTCAATGCTTCTGATAACAAGATGGGCGTTTCTTCATCATCATCGCTAGCATCCTCCTCCTCCATTTCGTCTCCATCTTCATATCCAGCTTCCTCCAGGTCCTCTTCGCCTGATTGAAATTGGTCTGCGTCCGAGTGTTCGTCAGAGCCAGAATCCGAGTCTGATGCAGATTCATCCGAATCGGTGTCGTTGAACCCCATGAACCCCTTCATATCTTCATCAATTCCTAGTTCTTCCTCTTCTTCCAGCTTTTTACGCTTCTTTTCGACTCGTTTGAACATGGTGATGACTCTGATGAGCGACGAAGGGAATAATGAAATTCAATGAATTGATAGTATCGAACAAAGCTTGTGTTTGATCATCTGACCATTTCATTTTCAAATTTCGGTCTTAACTATTTGCACAGCCACAAGTGCATTTTCTTCCGTATCCTTTCATGCATCGTCGCGCCGGCCAACTGCTTACAGACATCCGGCCCAATGTGCAGCCAATAAAATCATATTCGATACCTACACCAATAAAGAACAATGATTTCAAGACCCCCAATCGTCGATTTCGAAAGTTACCGCCCGGTGAGCTCGCTGCAGCAGCCAAGCTAACGGATAAGCTTGTCCGTGTTGCCGCTGGCACCAAATTCACTCCCAAACGTCCATGGAAGCACACGAAGACGCTACGAGGCGACGAAATGCGTCTGCTGGAGATGGTGAAGCCGAAGCCACCCATGACAGAAACGCAAGCTATCTTCGCAAATGATGTAGAAGATGGAGACTCTGGGGTAGAACCAGGGGACGCTTCGTCAGTTTCTAATATAGAGGTTGGATCTCTTGTTGAGATTAGAAGGTGAGTCTGAGTCATTTGTTTCTTTGTTCTCGATGACTTATGGTATTGCAGGAGTTCCATATATGCACATGGTGTAGTCTTGGGCCATTCGTATATGAACGGTCGCATGTGGCATCTCTCCTTGATCAGTACAGGCGAAGTCATTCAGCATGTCGAGTCAGATGTGTACATTGAGGTCCCTCGCATAGCTGACAGGGACCTTGCCCTCCGCGCAGGCACCAGCGCAACCCCAATGGACCGCGTAGAGACTAATGCGCGGGTTGAAATCCTGAAGTATCTACGGGAGGCTGAGAGAGAAATAAACAAGGCATTCATGGTCATTGGGCGGAAGAACGCAGCGCTATATCCCCACGTGCGGGCGAGGCACCCAGACGAGTGGGGATCCGTCAGTCTTTCAGAGGCTGCAAAGCTGGTGTGCGACTATAGACCGGAGAGCTGGCCGACTCTTTTTGCAACGCATAAATATATCATGGGTCGCCCTATCGAATTTGTGCCGCACATGCAGTCTCAGAGACTTGCGCTCACGTACGACGTGCGGCCAGAAAACCATGTTGTCAAACTGCAGAGAGTTGTGGATATGGTGCGGCAAAGGAGTCCGGAACTGGAGGCGTTTATCGAGAAAGCTCGGGACCTCATTCTTACTGCCAGAGAGAAGGTTAGCGAGTCTTGGGATGAACCTCCGAGCAGAGTTGTCGTAAAGGATGTCACATTTTCCACAGACGATCGCACCATCCTTGATGTCTTGCACCTTGCATTACGCAGGACCCGTAACACTTGTATTGATCCCTTTTCTGGAGTGGTCACATCCATTATCAAGAGGATTGGCTTGCATGCTCATAAGATGGTGGACGACGTGTGTCTGCGGCAATTCTTGATAGAGATGGGGGAGATGGCCCCTTGGGAGGATATCGTCACCCAGAGGAAGGAGCTGAATCTGGACCTGACTCCAGACGAGGAGTCGCAGCGTGCCAGAAATGAGCACGCTCTTGTCAAAAGGAGCCTGTCTTTGCTGCGACCCTCGCGGGCGAAGGGAAAGCAACCTTTAGGACCAGAAGACTTCTATGATCGTGATCCCGTCGAGCATCTGCGACACGACTTCGGAAGCTTACCAGTCTACGTGATTGACGACGTGAGCGCAGAAGAGCTGGACGACGGCTTGTCGGTAGAACCTGTCCTTAACGAGCCTGGTTCGGCTTGGATACATGTCCACATTGCAGACCCTACTGTTATCCTTCCACCGACTCATATTATCTCAGAGGCAGCACGTCGAATGGGCTCCTCCGCATACTTCATCCACAGGACATGGCCTATGCTACCTCCCTCCCTTACCCATGACCGACTAAGTTTGGGCTCGCATTCTCGGAAGGGGGAGCCTGAACCTGTCCTTACATTTAGCTTCAAGATAAACGCTGAAGGCAACATGGTCGACTACGATGTTAAAGCCGGTCTCATTCGCAACGTCAAAAGAGTCGACTATGATAGTGTGGATCGACTTCTTGGAAACGGAGGTGTTCAATTTGGCTACCCATTCGAAGCACCCCAAACCCCTGAAATCTCCCATGTACCTGTACTAGAATCAAAAGATGTGGAGAATATGCGTCTCATGGACGACCTGACGCGCAAGTTCCGACAGCGTAACCGCCGGACACTAAATCCATTCGTATTCTCAGCTCCATCGGGTACTCTTGTGGCTACTGCAAAACCAATCCACGGCGCTCCGACAACACCAGCTTGGAACGCTTCATATTATCGTGGCTTCCCTAACCTTACCTATCAAGTATACTCTCAGAAGACAATGGAGCGTGGCTCGCGGTTGCTTGTTGCCGACTGCATGAAAACAGCATCTCGCGTTGCTTCACGGTGGTTCGCCGCAAAGGGAGTGCCGATGTTGCGTCGTTCTGCACGGCCTCCAATAGCTCTCGAGGACAACAGAGACATTGAGAGGCTAATTGCGAAAATGGATGAGGATGGATTTGTGGATCACACAGAGTTGCTCCAGACGAAATTGCACATTCCACCTGTCGAGTATATCCTCAAACCAGGCATGCATTGGTCCATGGGTATCCCAGAAGGGGAAGGTTATGTCCGTGTCACGTCACCGCTACGACGGTACAACGATCTAGTTGCGCACTGGCAGATCAAGGATGTACTGCTTCGGCCCAAGGCATCTACGCGTCCATTCACTCCCGGGTGGCTCACTACCTACGCCACCGAGGTACTTGAGTACGAGAAGCTTTGGAAGCATAGCGATCGGAGTCATCGCATGCAGTGGACACTCATGTACATCAAGCGCTTCCTTGACCACCCGAACCCTCCCAGTGATCGCGTCGACCCTCTGCAATCCCTCAGTGCATATATCACAGAGTCTGGCAGGAAGCGCGACTTGCTGACGAACGTATTTCAATGCCACATCCCATCACTTGGTCTGCCAGCAACAATTATCACGCCTCGGACTACGGATATCCCGGTGGGGCAATATGTGAATGTGAGAGTCAAGGACATACAGGTCGGTTTGAAGGCGCTGTTCATGGTGGAACTATGTGGTGATGCATAGCTTCTTTTTATTTTTACACGTCATAATGCACCATAGCTTAATTAATTATCCACTGCATGATTTAACACACCTCATTCCATATTTCTCTCCGTCGGAAGTAAGTCAATTTTCGGGATATGATTGGTTCGGATGTGGGATGACTAAGCCACGTACTGTGGTTCGACAACCTATTCTGGGAAGATAAAAACGCGCGCTGAAAACAAGTCAGTCGCGTTCGTGAGACCCTGCCAGTGCTCCTTGGACAGCGCGGGAGCATTTACATTGCTTTGCATCTTGACTTTGTTTTTTCATGTCATTCGATTCGACCGCCCCAGCTGTGGGCTACGTTGCAGCCGTTGTTGATGCTGTGCAACAGTATCTCACTGCCTCTCCTGGTAGAACAGTTCTACTGGGAATCGTCTATACGCCAATAATCATCTTCGTGCTGAACATCCTTAAGCAGCTGGTGAGCATGTAGCAACTCCAGTTTGCGTGCCTACTGACGCAATGTCGCCAGGTTGTTCCCCGGGATCCTTCACTACCTCCAGAAGTGTTCCACTGGATCCCTTTCGTTGGGTCCTCCATCGCGTACGGCGATGACCCACTCAAATTTTTCTTCGAGTGTAGGGAAAGAGTACGATCGTGTGACATCTCTCATGTCATGATTTTGTCTCATACTTTTCTTTAGTACGGCGATGTCTTCACATTCACTCTACTTGGACGCAAGGTGACCGTCGCACTCGGTGCTAAGGGCAACAACTTTGTCTTGGGTGGTAAATCGACTGCGTTCTCTGCAGAAGATGCTTACACGGTATGTGCGATTGTTGTAGTTTCGTAAACGCCTCTCAACCACGAACAGCACCTCACGACCCCCGTCTTCGGTAAAGATGTCGTATACGACGTCCCCAACGAAGTATTCATGGAGCAAAAGAAGTTTGTTAAAGTCGGCCTCTCAACTGAGAACTTCCGGGCGTACGTGGGCATGTTCGAGCAAGAAGTCGACGACTACATGCGCACCGACCAAGCATTCATCATCTGGCAAATGGACGATATCAATGAATGGGGACGCTTCGATGTGACGGACATCATGGCTCAAATCACTATTTTGACTGCCAGTCGTACTCTGCAAGGCAAAGAGGTCAGGAGTGGTTTGGACAAATCGTTTTCTGCGCTTTACAACGACCTGGATGGAGGCTTCACCCCGCTGAATTTCATGTTTCCTAACTTGCCTTTGGAATCTTATCGCCGTCGGGACGTAGCACACAAGAAAATGAGCGAATATTACACCGACATTATCCGCAAACGCAGGGAATCAGGGCACTCTGTAAGGCGTTTACTTTGATGGGATCTAACCGATATTCACTATGCATGCTATAGGACGAACCTGACATGATCTCCGCCTTGATGGATCAAAAATACCGTGATGGCAGACCTCTCCGTGACCACGAAATCGCGCACATCATGATTGCCCTTCTCATGGCAGGACAGCACACTAGCTCTGCCTCCGGTTCATGGACCCTTCTTCACCTTGCTCAGAACGTCGAAGTCCAGTGAGTCTTGTTCGTTATTGGCAGTTGTCATATACTCATCGTCATCATAGGGAAGCACTTTACCAGGAGCAAGTCGACCATTTCGGCAACCCGGATGGCTCTTTCCGTCCGATGACATATGAGGGCTTCCGCCAGCTTCCAGTCCTTGATTCCGTCATTCGTGAGACGCTCCGCATGCACCCGCCTATTCACAGCATCATGCGCTACGTTCGTTCCGATGTTCCAGTTCCCGCGACTCTCGCTGCCCCCTCCGAAGATGGTGTTTATGTTGTTCCAAAGGGCTACTACGTGCTTGCTTCTGCTGCCGTCAGCCAGGTTGACCCCCTTATCTGGGTTAACCCTACGAAGTGGGACCCAACACGGTGGAGTGATCCCGAGGGTGTTGCTGCTCAGGCTTTCAAGACTTACTCTGACGAGAATGGCGAGAAGATTGATTATGGTTTCGGTGCTGTAAGCAAGGGAACTGAGAGCCCGTACCAACCCTTCGGTGCCGGGAGGCATAGATGCATTGGCGAGCAGGTGGGCTTGATTATCTGCTTGCTGAGGTGTGTTTGGCTGATTTTTTCAATAGTTCGCATACCTGCAACTTGGAACCGTGATTTCCAACATCATCCGCAAAGTTGAACTTCGGTTAGAGGATGGCATCACAGAGATCCCAGAACACAATTATCATGTTCGTCCATTCAGTTCATGATTTCTCTCGAGTATTGTTAACAATTCTTCCATAGACCATGATCACAATGCCAAAGAAACCTCGCAATGTCTGTTACAGACGCAGGAGATTTGATTAAAGGATGTGCTCCGCTTCCCCTAGATACCTATACCACACGTCTTCCGTATTTACTCTTGGATGCTCGGTGACTTGCATAAAATATACCTCTTCTACAAAAACGCTGGGGTGAAATAGTCAGCCCAGGAGACTAACTGGCAATGGCCACGTAATCGTAATTGAGTGAACATTGGAATGCAATATTGTTGGCATTAGCTGTTGTCCTGACCATCCCTAGAGCTTGGCGATGGGTTCAAGTGCACGCCCAGGGGTATACTATGAGTAGATTAATTTTAGGAAACAATCTGTATGTCTTCTCGAGTCCGTCGCAAAGAGCCTACACCGGACAAAATGCTTGAGCTGGTGCTTGAATTTGATGATGGCAGCATGTACAGAGTTGCTGTCATGCGGTTTTTAAACTGATACAGAAGCGTTGGGATGGCCGAATCGGGGGAATCAAGAAGTCGGGATGATTTTCACGAATCACGATTGCCCGAACATGGTACCGGTTGAAATCTACGTGAAATTGTTCAAGGACTCCAGTGCTGCGCATTAGAGTATCTGCTCCGGTATTTAATTTGATTGCAAGAGGCCAACAAGCCTAGGAGTAGGGCCAATACTGCCATTATACGATCTATTGTCGGTCTCTTTGAATCCCTCCACAACCTGCCTCAAGGCATCTGTCATATGATATCGAAATATAGTTATGTCTTCTTGAAATATACTCAAAAACACGAAAGACGAAATAAACACCGAGTCAATGAATACCATCACGAAAGTAGGAATAAATAAAAGCGAAATCCCTTGCTCTTGGTACAGCACCGGACAGCCGTTAACTTTACTGAGTATTATACACCACTGCCAGTCGATATATGCACGCGCTCTTGGAAAACGATTGAGGTCGTGCCGGTTGCTGCGTCGGAGTCAGCCACGAGTTTAGCATAATATTCTCGGACGCCAAGGATCAACCGTGGTCCTAGCACGAACATCTGCATGACCTCCAAAATCTGAAACAAGCCGAAAAAAATCTGATCTTCTAGGAAAACTTGGTTCTATAGAAATGATAGATCGTGGTCACATGTAGAGGTAAGTGAAAGATTGACATACCGTTGATACTGTTGGAGAGAATTCAATGATGAGGGAAAAACACGAAACAACGACAAAGCTATTATATGTCCGACCCTTCAGTTAAAAAAAGGACAATAATTATAATATGAACTTGCCTCGCAAAGTAAACCACGTGAGTTTTCATCAACAAAATAAAACAGTCCCCGATAACCCCTCCTGCCCGATGTAATCGCAGTTCACGGAAGTGTTTTACCGCAATCCAGATTGCGAGGCAGAGTGTGAGGACCTCCCAAACAATGCCAAGTATCCAAGTAACAGAATCCAGAACTAGGGTATCTCCTGTGTAGCCAGTCGTGCACTGGTAGGTGCCGGAGAGAATGAACTCCTCTGGTATCCATCAATGAGCCCTATGCACGTTCATTTTCATCCATAATTAAGCGTACCTCCTGAAGTATGCATCGTTGACATTATGGCTGCCACTCCATCAAAAGTGTTGATCGCCAGGAAGGTGACAACGAGAAATATCAGTATTTTTCTGGCTCGTTGATACATGGCATGCAACCGAGTGATGATGATGACTTGCAGCACGTTTCAGTCATTCCAATATCACTGATGTCTCGCAAGTGCAAAGCTCACCGCACAGCATCGGAAATACCACAATACCCGTCCAAAACCATATAATGTACATCATCCAACCTGACAGATCCGGTCAGTGACCAGTCTCAGGTAGCACACACTTCAAACAGACTCACATCTTTGGTAGTATAGCGTGGCAGCTATTAGTAGACTGAGAAGTCAGTAAAGAACCACACCCACTGCTACAGAACACCACGGTTAATTTGAGGGGAATGGCAGGGATTTATACAAAAGACTCACTGTATCTGTCAGCGAGATGGTCGGAAGATTGCCTGAATACCGTTGGTCAGAAGAAGAGAAGACAGTGATTGTACTAAGGTGACATACAAACCATGTACAGACTGATTATAAGAGATAGACGATTAGCACAACACCAAATGTCTAGCCTTCTGAACATACGCAGCTGATATGATTCCAAGGTAGCGCACCTAGGATACTTTCAAGTCAGCACACAATGGCAACTACGACAAACAGGCCACATACACTGAGATACAGTACTGTCATGAGCGACCACCGTTGTCTCTGTAATTAAGTGTACTTTCATGTATGTTCCTCTGACACGAGACTGTACACACCCAGACCAATTCGACCTACAAAAGGATTATTAGCAAGACGGGTTCCGGTGATAGTATTGACATACCTCTTGTCCAAAGGTTAGTGCTAAAAAAACACTTGTAAGACATCAGTAATCTTTTAAAATGTTATCATGCTCACCCCAATCATATGTTACTCCAACGAAGGCAGCAACTGCAAACCGCAGCCAAGGTCAGATTGAGACATCAGCTTCGACATCCGACTGCTCTCCACGAACCTACAAAATAGCTGGAAAAACGATACGCACTGATGGTTGGCCACCAAGTGGGATCATTTGAGACTATGGTCATATTGGTAGAGAATGGGTGTGGATGAGAGACGAACTTGGTAGACGTATGGTGATAGCATATAACCACCATCCAGCGCTTGGATCGCCAAAATGAGATTGAAAGATGATCATCATCCCTGCCTTGATCGACCAAAGATCCAGGGACTCAACGTAAATGTTGGACATGAAACATTTCGACGAGAGGGACCCTTTACATAACATTGTAAAAGATAGCAAATTGTATCAACATGCCAAGACCAGATCAAAGATAAATAATGACAGATAGTGGGGGAGCAAACAGATAACTCACATTCTACCCGTGTGTGAGCACATATCTCAATGCCTCCTATCCCTTCTCCTCGCCCTCAGGCCATCTGTCGCTTCATGCGCACCTTCTTGCTCTCTGGCCCGGTTATCGGGCTTTCGTATCATAAGGTTGCCAACAATGATGGCCGCATCTTCGATCTGCATCGTGGAGTGGGGACATTAGTTTGCGCAGCCAGAGATAGCCTAGTTGAGAATCCCTGATTGATGGATACAATGACATTCCTAGATTCAAACAGCGCTGAGAGAAGACATGGAAAAAGAAGACTCGGGCGCGCTGATTACTGCATGAAGCTTGAAGCCTGATTTGTTGTGTATGGGCTTATTTCATAAAAAGTTGATGGACGATGATGATCTGAGCGCCGGTCAACCAAGTTCCCATTACAGGAGTGCCAGTGAGAACGATGTCACAGTAAGGGCAGTGACACTCTGATGTAAACGCACGCTATGCTTGATCCATCGTGTATCTTGCATGCCGTTAGGATGGAAGGTAGGGAATAAATAACTGGCACTGTTTCTTGTATAGGGTTGTAGATAGAAACGGAATAATGATATTGTGTTGGGTTTGTGCAATAGCGCTGAGCCTGCTAGTTTCGCCGTCGACTGCGCAAAATCATCCATTGGAAACCTGTTCAGTATGCTCCGGCGGCGTTCTGGAGGGGCGAACCCAAGAATGATGAAACTATTTGTAGAGAGGCGAGTTGGCGAGGTTCTGTAGCGTGGTAGATGGGGAGATGGATACTCTGTAGATGTATGAAGACGAGTGAGTCGTTGATGGTATGGTTGGTTGGTCAGATGTGATTAGTTGGTAGTCCTCTATGCGAGATTGGTTGACTCTTGTCCAATATTCGTGCATCTTGAATATGAGCATGGTTGAATGTTTGAGCAGCACGTACGTCTGGTGATTGGGAGCGACGAAGCGATGACAAGTACCTGAAACACAAAGGATGACTCATCACATAACAGTACCTCTTCGTGCACCCACAGAAGGTATATTGTACCTAGCTGTCACTTTGACTCTGACTGTGCTCTCCTCGTTAGCACTTCCTGTGACAACACCATCATTCAACCTCCCAAGTCCCTATCGATGGATGCTCCTGGTGTTCTTCGTCCACCAGGTTACAGGGTCCTACTTGGTGGAATTATCGGATGACCGTGACGCGGCATGAGCACCAGTGAATTGATGAGTCCTTGAAATGGTGGGGAATGCTAAATGAAATTCGCCGCACAGACATGGTCACATGGACGGCGCCAGTGCCTAGCATATATATACTACAACTCTGCAGCACGCTCTCACATATGATGAAAGCTGATATCCCATTGTGCTTCCGATACGACGAGAGGTGGGTACTGAGTCACGAGTTGTCCTCGAGGATGAGGCCTAGGAGCAAGAACAAATAAAAACTTGCATCCTAACGTTCCAGCGACATCACCTATAAACATATGATCTTCAAGCTCTTCGACTTTCCCGTTCAGTACACTGCTTGCCTTCGTTAGTACAGTAGTGATATCCAGGATATTGGTTGCAACATCAATAAATAATTGTTAATGTCAGGACTTATAGCAAATGAATCGAATACATACTACGACAAAAATATTGCCCAAGCCTGTCTCCTTGAGATCTACTTCGTGACACCAAATAACTACTTAAGCACCGCAACGAGGCTTGGAATGGAGATGAAAAAACAAATTTCCCGTCTTCCCTGAAAAGCACTAGACAACTGTCAACTTCACTGAGCATTACACACTACTACCAGTCGATATATGCACACGCTCTTGGAAAGCGATTGAGGTCATGCGGGTTGCTGCGTCAGAGTCGTCCACGAGCTTAGCGTTAAATTCTCGAACGCTAAGGATCAGGCGTGGTCCCAGCACAAACATCTGCGCGGCCTCGAAAATCTAAAGCAAGCCTAAAACAGTTTGACTTTCTAGGTCCTATAGAAATGATGAATCGTGGTCGCATGAAGAGGTAAGTGAGAGATCGACATACCGTTGTGAAGACTGTTGGAGATAAATCGATAACGATGTTGAAGCAAGAGACAGCAACAAAGCTATGTCCGACCCTTCAGTGGAGAAAAAGGAACATTAATAACAATATGAGCTTACCTCGTAAAGTAAACCACATGAGTTTTCATCAACACCGTGAAACAATCTCCCATAATCCCTTCTGTCGAATGTTGTCGCAGTTCACGGAAGTGTTTTACCGCAATCCAGACTGCGAGACACAGCGCGAGGCACTCCCATACAACGCAGAGTATCCAAGCAACAGAATTCAGAATTATGGTATCTCCTGTATAGGTGATCGTGTACTGATATGTGCCGGAGAGAATGAATTCCTCTGGTATTCATCAATGAACCCCATGCACATTGGTTTTTATCCACAATTAAACGTACCCCCTGAAGAATACATTGTTGCTGTCTGTTACGGCTGCCACTCCGTTGACGATGTTGACAGCCAGGAAGGTGACAACGAGAAACATCAAGATCTTTCTGGATCGTTGATACATGGCATACAACCGAGTGATGATTATGACTTGCGGCATGTTTCACTCAAGTCAATATCACTGACGTCTCGCAAGTGCCAAGCTCACCCCACATCAGTAAACCACTTTGCACTGTGCAGCGCTGTACAGCGTGCAAGCGCTACAGCTTGGTCCCAATTAGCCAGTCCATCACAGCGACACCTTGCGCTGTGAATCTCTGTACAGACACCTACAGACCGCCCAGTAATTACGAAAATCTACTTGAATTGCAAATTTTTTCGCTGTCCATCTCTGTACAGACACCCACAGAGCACTCAGAGACCCGGAGCTGTACAGACATTTGCTCGCTGTACTGCGTACACACACTGGACAACACAAAAATTTTAAAACAAAAAAACAAAACCAATATATTGAATCACATGACCACGACAAACAGTAAATACAATGATACGTGCGCCAAAAACGATAAATGCTTGATATAAACTGGGGAGCGGGAATACGAAGCTTTTAGTCAAGAAGAATCTGCAGGTGGTCGTGTCTCGCATCAACAACTCCTTCGAGATTCATAGCTGCAGCCCTGTACAAATGAAAATCAGTAAAAAAATTATCAGAGAGAAAAGATCCTCACCATCCCGCTGCAGCCCATTCTCGCAGTTGAGCTGACAGCCTAGGCCCATGATACGCATCCTCAAGGATATGTTTGAGCAATTCGAGCATCCGACAATAGATGGGGCCGTAGTCCTTGGTGGAAAAGTTTGGGTATGACTTCCCATGTCCGTTTTTCACAAGACCGTCGAAGACACAATTGAACTAGTTTCAAGACAGAAAATTAACACACGACATTGGCGAGGGAGACAAAATTACCGCCGCAGCAACCAAAGCCAAACATGAGAGTGGCAATTCCGTGCTAAAGGTCTCCGGCATCCTTCGTGCAATTCAATATGGTCCTGTGTAAAAGAATGTGATGACGGCTTCACGAAGGGCGGGATGAGCGAAGTTTCGTGTTCTCCCCTAGAAATCTTCCATCAGTAGAATTGCGATCACCACAAGATCACTTACCTGATCGTCCACCCCAAAGCGTAAGAAGAATGCTTCCTTGATCAATTCAGCAGCAGCATGCTCGACCCAAGCAGCACGTTCCTGAATGGGGACAGAAAGCGGAGGAATAAGCGAATATGATACTGGTGCAATGCTTATGGCTGTTTTCTTCAAGTCAGATCGCCAAGTCGAAAGATCGTCGTACAGCTTTAATACAGACTGTCAACGAGATATTGGCACAAAGTCAGTTATGCACACACCAACCGAGTCATATTAAATTTTTGTTCTGGCCAAACCCCTGCATCAGAATATGACATATTAGTTCGAGAACGAATGAGAACGAACAAGTGCCTACCAGCTTCAAATTGTTTACCGTTCGTATCCCACACAACCAATACTGCAATGAGAACTTCAGTGATTGTTCCTGGAAGATTCTTCACCAAAGTTGGAAACGGGTTCTCCAGGGCGTGTTGCGCGCGACATTCTACTTTGGCGTCCTCCAGAAAACTTTTCCAGCATGGTCCGTACCAAGATAATTGATCGGGTGTTGGCCCACCACGCGATGACCTAGACTTTTTGTTTTTCAATGGCTGAACATCACACTCGGACACTTGATTCAGCAGTTCGAGGGATTCAGGATCAGGAAGACAGGGCTTTCCGTTTTTCTTATGGTGGCGTTGTAGTACATCGTCAGGCTTCGAGGTGATGGTCTGCTCGATGGTGAGCATCAATTAAAATGGTCTCCCTGATCTCACCTCAATGTGTTGGGATGCTTGCCGCCGCGGTCCTGGTGAGATATCCGGAGGGTCCTTGAAAGAAAGGCAATGGTAAGCATGATACAATTGAACGATATGGCCATACCTGAGAGCTTTCGTTCCGCTGGATTAACAATATAAAATGAGAGTTACTCCTGGCTTGAGCAGAAAACTTACCGAGGTTTTATCAAGGCTCGTCTGGGCAACTACATCATCTTCATCGCGTGAGTACTGGAACTGAATTTCAGGTGTGAGAGGGCGAGCGACTGGAGATTGCGAAGGTGGTACATCCTCCACAAACCCTATAACATTGAATTAGTGAAGCGAAATCACACCACGAGAATGTGTACCTGGGTGTTCTTTCTGGCGTCGGCCAGCCTCCCCCCAACCAAACTGCTGTGAGCTCTTGACTGTATCATCATTTCCCCCCTCCTCCTCATCATCCTCTCCGCTGTCCTCTTCATCAGCATCTTTATCATTGCTATCATCGCTGTCATCACTGCTACAGTCTTTAGAGTCACTGTCATCAGATTCAAACGACGTCAGACGACGCTGAGCCCTAACAGTGTCATCATGCTGACGTAGGGCTGGATCTAAATTCTCCTCCCGAAAGACGGACCTTGGCAAAACCACTGGATATTCAGAGACAGCGTTCTGGGTATGCCGCTCAGCAATTGCATCCCGAGTTCGCTTCTCAGCGATAGCGTCCCGAGCTCGTTGCTCGGCAATGGCGTCTCAAGCTCGTTGCTCGGCAATGGCATCTCGAGCTTGTTGCTCGGCAATGGCGTCCCGAGCTTGTTGCTCGGCAATGGCGTCTCGAGCGCACTGCTCAGCGTCCTTCGCCCCAATGGTGACATGCGGGTTGTGCAATGCCTGAATATTGGGCTGGGCAGTACCGGAATGAGCTATTTCTGTTGGAGCAACAAATCCAAACCTTCCACCAGGTTGCTGGGATGTAAAGCTGGGCCCTGTGGCGATAATGTCCTTGGCTGGGGCATCTGGAGCATCCCTAACAAGTGAGCTGTAGGGTGGAGGAACTGCCTACGAAACAATCAATATGAGTAACAGAATTAATTGGATGCCTACCTTTGAATGATTCTTTCGACCTCTACGACGCGGTTCTGGGGCTTGAGGATTGACTGGAACATTGAGACCAAGGGACGTTGTACCCTTACGTTCTTGAGTCCGAGGCTTGGATTGCAATACTGATCCAATCTTCTCCAGTTGTGCATTCCTACCTCCAGTTACCGCATTAGGGCGACCAGAACGCCGGGGAGCATTTTGTTCCGCTTCTGCTCCAGTCAGGCCAAGGGACACGAGGGGTACCATGCTGGGTACCTCAGCAATGTCTGCAGCCCGAGACTTCTTTGGCAAGCCGGCCTTTGAAGCATCGGATCCTTTGCGCTTGCCAGATCGTTTCTTCTTAGGACTGGCGATGGCATGAGGAGGCATGACTGTAATGAAGAACAGAGGAAGAAGTGACTCTGATAAATTATCCTAGACTTACGATGATTTTATACCATGGCTCATCCGTGTACTAATACTTAATAGCCGTATGGGTAGTGAGAGAAAAGTTTATCATTAATAAGAATGATAGTAATAAAGAAACATACCACCATGAGGATTGTTACTATCACGTCGTACTCCAAATCGATTCGCATGACTAGCGTGAAAAAACCTTCGTTGTTGGTAATAGTACTCATAAGAGAAATTGCCGATCACGTAAGCAAAAATGCTACACATAACATGAATTGTACCAGAACCTACTAGTAGTGATACTATATCAGATCCTGGCGTACTACTAGTATCTTGATTGTAAAAAGATAAACGCTTAAAAAAAGCTTGAAAAAGAACGATATAGTCAGAACAACAATATCATAGGTACCGGTCAGTGAACTATAGTAAAAACGCAACATACTAATAGTACAAGCCAGCGAGATTCTAGAAATACTACTGCTAAAGTTAAACATGTCATTCATACTAAGTCAGTGAAGAAGAAAAATAGCTGAATATGTGTAATGAGTAGGCTTCACCTCCTGGTCATGCGTCACTGCCCGATGCTGAGTCAGACTCAGTATCACTATGATGAGACTTCTGCCGCTTGGGTGCTACTACAGAGGGAGGGTCTGAAGCAATCCGTTTGCCCTTAACACGTTTCGTGAGAATGGCAGCATCATTCCTGAGCATGTCCACAGCAGATACGAGCTCCTCGTCGTCGGGGAGTTTGTTGAGATGAGAGTTGAGTACAGCGAGAATGGTGTCGAAGGTAACGGGGTGGATCATGTTGTCCACCAGAACTCTACGCCACTCTACTGCGAGGGGGATCAGCTGCTTGAAGTACAGGTGAAATTGGTCTGTGAGACGCTTTTCCTCTCCTGGATAAGTGAAAAAGGTGATCTTGAAGGCTGCACACAATCCCAGGTCAAGGCTGGTCCAACGATCCACCAATGAATTGGGCAAGTGCTCCCGCACCATACCATTGGGACCACAAAACTTGATGCAAACCCAAGCGAACACGAAAAAAGGGACTCCAGGTCATCCGCATAGCCTTGGATGACGTATGATACAGGTAGCGCCAGAGAATCAGAGGATGATTTCAGGGTTTTTGGTTTGTCGACTGAATTGCGTCCCCGAGTCTCTTTCTTCTTCGCCGTCTTCTTCCTCTTTGATTCCAGGTCCACCTCCTGCTGCAGGACCGCATATTGATTGAGAAGTCTGCATGACATGAAAGGGACTGTGCCCTGGCAAATCAATTAATGAACTGAATATTTAATGAATAAGGTGTACTTACTGTACCGCCGATGGGATATTTATGATCCAAGGCAATCCGAACGGCAAACTCCCAGTCAATAAGAAACCCTTCACTACCTTCAGGTTCGTCTAGGATCATCGCGTTGTTGAGACTACAGTCCCGATGCAAAATCTGATGTTCCTCCACTGCAGCTTGTTGAACTAACATCAAAGAGTATCAGTCCAAGACACCTGTACCCCAAAGTACTAAAAACTTACTCTTAATGATATCCCTTAGTGCCCGCACAAACTCCTTCAGTGTTTGGAACATGTGAAGGGGGCGACCACATGGCTTCAAGACAAGACGTACATGAGTACGACTAGTGCCCCTGGTACTCCGGCGTTCTTTCTGCCGATATTTTAAGGTAACATCGGGATCACCATCTGACTGTTCAACGACCCAATGATCCACCAGCTTTGGAACGCCAGGGAGGCCATCCATCAATTCCAGCATCTTGATCTCGTTCAAGACTACATTGTCGTCCTTGCCTACAACCCAATGGTCTTTTATTATGTAGTCTTCATCGTCTAAAGTTGCCAAATAGCAAATGGTTCCGCGAACAACAAGACCTTGGCTCGCAAAAATGATTCTTCTTATAGTGTAGACCTTCTGCCCTACACAGATTTTACCGCAAGGTTCAGGTGATCGAGCAGAGTAAGGGAATTGGGAAGGGAGAGGGGTGACAGAATAGATGCTCTTGGTCATCTCAGCCTGGGGCATTTGGGATGCGAGGCTGAGAAGGGGAGCACTACGGGTTGCAGTGGGGTGCACTGGGAGGGAGGGGGGTGGGAAATGCTCTTCGTCCATTGAGTAATGTGTAGCGGAACCGCTCGGACCTTCTTCTGTCGAGTCAGAGTCACTAGAGTCACTAGTGACTACTGATTCAAGGGCATCACTGGACGACACTCCATCAGGATCCTCGGGAAATGGAAGGGAGGAAGTGAAAACGGCAACAGTACAGTCCGTCGTACTTGGTCGGGCAGGAGCGTTTCTAATGGGACGATAGCAGTTGATATCTTTGAATCAGGGTGGTGAAACAATCTTTGAGAATGAGACTGTTGGATCATAGCCGACGCACTCTAGACTCCCGAAATTGATGGCAGCGATTATATGTGAAAATATGTCCGGTTGTTTGTAAATATCGAAGCGAGGAGACACGGCGCCACCAGAGTGATCATACATTAGGACTCTAAGGTGGCGATATTCATCTGTGAATGATAATATGAGAGCAAAGCACCTCCATGGCTGTTCACTCATCATAATATAGGCATGAGTATCTGCAGCCTTCCCGAGTCGCATCGCAGGCCGGTATCGACTGTGAGTGAGTTCGGCTGATACCCTGATGTTCCCCCACTTTGCCAATATATCGTCAGATAGAACGAGATCTGGCTTGCGCTTGATGTCGCTGCCAGGTAATGCCTTCTGTGCACTGGCTGCGCTCCATGTGCTGGTTGCAAAGCACATTTCTACTAGTTTGGGCTGCGATGCTGCTAAGCAGCCAGCCAGAGCATTGAGAAACGCAGCAAAGATTTCTTTGTGAGTTGCTTTCTGCATATCATCACCCTCTGACTTGCCCTCCGAGTCTGCGCCCGAACGACTACTACTGGCATTTTTAGGAGGGCCAACTGGAAGGGCCCAGTTCCAAGCCTTCGCTTCAGTATCGTACAGTGGCACAAGAGTATCGGGCGATGTCCCGCTGAATTTCTCGTTGATGCGTTGGTTGCGATAAAGGATTTTTCCGAATGGGATTTTAAGGCTGAATACATCGGGAAGAGGAACCGTGAAAGACTGAAATATTTTGGAGAGCAGGTGTCCCAGCGGTTGCGAGGCCTTTGGTGAACCCTCGTGAGTGACCAGACGATTGAGCTCGTCAGAGGTGATCTTGTTGATAGTATGGACGTCGGTGACATCGGGGATAGACAACAACGATGACAATTTGATTCCGTTGTCAACGGTCCTGAAAAAGAACACCATTTTTTCGTACACGGACAATAATGGCACAAAGAACGAGAGCTTATCGCCACATAATAGCGCCCATCAAAACTCAGTACTCAGTTCGGTGATCTAAGAATAAAACAGACTAGAATAACTTCTGGCATAGGCTAGATAAGACCACTCGACCATCACGAACGTCGCACGGAAGCTACACCAAAAGCTACATGGAAAGGGGAAAATATACATTCTTATCCCAATACCTGTTGAGCCAGAACTGAGAAGCATGTTCCATGCTATTATATGGGGTGAGACGGTTGTCCGCACTTGCACCGAAGCGAGGGACAAGGTTGACAGCTGCTCTGAGCTGTGTCACAGGTATGACATCGCCCACCCAAGTGCCATTCGAACGCTTCGCTCGTTTGAGCAAGTGGAGCTGCGTACTTGGCTCACGATCATCAGCACCGGAGCTTTGAGGAACAATGTCAAAGCGATGCACGTAAACCAGAAAGTGGTCCTTCCATGACCAATTCGTGCCACTTTTTCCAACAGCACGCATGATAAGCCTGATTTGGCCAATCGTATGACCTGCGACTTGACAATAAGTAGAGATTCAGCGTGACATAAGATCATAACGTACCACGAAGACCATCTTCTGGCCATAAGTACCTTGCCTCGTTGTTAATGATGACTGTGTCATACCAGCCACATGTCCAGGGATCAGAAGGAGGTGCACAATTGAGGGTCTGTGCAGGCCGTATGATGCTAGCATCGTGGAAATCAGTGTCCTGCACCCGAAGTTTAAACCAGACTTGAAGTTTGTCGAAGGGAAGTGAAGCAGTAGGTCCAGCTCTTCTAGCCCCCCCAATAGTATGTATGTGATCCCTCCCATGAGTAGCCTCACAACGAAGAAAGTCGGCAATAGCTGGTCGTAAGTCAGGAAGACCAAACTTGATGGCAGCATCGTCAACAGATATGTTTCTGATAGAAGGATCATAGGTGAGGTGAAACGCTGTGCGTTCGACAACGAACGAGCGCACTGGCACAGGGACTGTCCCCACTTCCCTGTGCTAGAGGACCTTGGCAATTCCGAAGTAATTGGTGATTGGACGTGAATGTCCAGGGTGTTTCATTGTCATAAGAAGGTCTGCTGGGATATCGCGATCGTCGTCCACGTCGAAATCGACATTCTCATCCTTCTCATCGTCATCTGGATCCTGCTGCCCTGAGTCTGGGACATTGTCGAGCAGACTCATAGCAAGGTCAAAGCGGCGGCATTTATCAGCATGGTCAAGATGGCGACATATCTGGGGATCGTAATTATTATTATTGCTCGAGCGAGCAGGACTTTTGATTTCCGTTATGTGGGCATGCTCCGTGGTATCGGCTGTCCATTGCAGAGGAACTCCAGTGTTCCTTATGCTTGGAACTATGGACTGCATAAGCTCAAGCTTCGGTATGTACCAGTTCTCGATAACTCCGCCACGCTGACCACGACGAAATCCACCCTCTATAATAGCATCTTTGTTAGCATGAAAATGATCAAGTGCAGTGGAAATTCAGACGAGTAGGATGTCATCAATTATGGGTGACTGTACGAGATATCAAAAGTCCATCAGAGCTCGTACAGAAGTCATCACTGCGCTAGGAATTGCATCCGCACTGACTGCTGTTACGCTGACCGTCGGTCGGCGTGTGCGAACTAGGATAGGTCTTCTCAGCGACGACTCGAGTGAGTCTACTGAAGCTGAGCGTGGTCTAGCCTTGACGGAACATCAAGGATTCCTCCGGCGATCTCGGTAAGACGGCGCTCGTCGAGATGCAGGGCTAGCGGATACGTGCTAAGTCGTATGGGGGCGACTTAGAAGTGCGGTCTCACACAAGGAAGCTGGTAGGCTTAGATGAGCAAGTTCTGGGGATGAACCTAGTAGATTAAAGTAAAGTCTAAGTACAATAATCTGTGTCTACTTATAGGGAAGTACTACAAGTATTCTAGCTCAGTCTGTAATCAATAGTATATCATAAATCTATGATAGCCAGACATGAGGTTCAGATAAGATACATGAGGCTTAACCTCTGATCAAGCATACTGCGCCAAGGGCAGCTGCGCATAGGTACAGGAAGCGCCAAGCGCGCTCCGGATCTTCATGAAGCGACATGTGGTATACATGCGCTGATCTAGGGTGTCCATGAGGCGTACAGCCTTCATGGATCAGGTACAAGGCCGTCTAGGCCAGGGGCGGGGTCATAGCGCCAGGCGGGGTCATAGCGCCAGGGGGCGGGGTCATAGCGGTCCAGACCGCTGTTTTTCTAGGCGTGGGCGGCGCACCGCCGCGCGGGGAGTCTAGCAGAGCGGGGGCAGGCGTAGGGAGAGCTGGGGCTCTGGTAGGTGTTACAGATCCCTGTAACAACTGCAATGATCGAGCATTGAATGTCGCGTTGAGTACGTCCTGTAATCTGTTTGAGTTTTGAAATCCCGCCATGAAAATGACGGAACCCAGTGACAGCCTGCAACACAGAGAACCGAAAGTCAATCTCTGTATCACCTACTGCGCAAATAAGCCACTTTGCATCGTGGTCGTAGAACTCACGATGAATGAGGTGAAGAAATTCGGGAGTGAGAAAATGTGATGGATCACTGAGGACCCAATCCATCCAGAATGGTGTGTTCACGCCATTCAAACGAAACTTCTGTGCTTCATGAAAAAATATCTCGATGTCGTTGGGATCAGCTTTACTCCGTGCAATGTCCAGCTGGGAGAGTGTAGTTGCTCGTGTGTGAGGCTCATGATGGAAAGGGTCTCCAAACTGTTTGTACATGGCCGTAGTGACTGGGGAGGTTTTCCCGCCAACAGCAGCCAGCATCATGGCCTCCGGGGTATCAACAATGTAGCTTGCAAGTGGTGTAAAACAGTAGCGACTGTGTCCAACAAGGTCCAATAGCATGACTCCTTCGGGAGCAGCCAGCTTGAGTGGACGGAGAACAATATCTAAGCATTCGTGAATGAGGCGATCCTCAAGTACGCCTCGCATGCATTTTTTCTTGTAGATGAATTTTGGGACGGGAAGTAGAGCGGTAAGCACAAAGGCATTCGAAGACGACTTGAGTCATGTGGACATGCCTATGTTGGCAAGACTAATCAGAAGGGGGTGTGCAACTCTGTCACCCGTCATGGTTGATATATTCGTCTTGTCAGACGATAAGATGGTCCCCAGGAGTGTTGCACCTCTTGGTAGGGCCGACTGTCCGAAAATCGATAAGTACGATGACTCGCACAGATGAAACTATATGTACCTGCATATTCCATGCATCATCACTAGTCATCCACTCTGAATATACATGGCACAGCCGCTGCGCAGTGCTATACACCCTGCAAGGCGTAAAGTCTAGATGATTGTGAAAGGCAGGGTGGTTGAGAAGGCCTGAAATACAATCTAAGGGATCACACCAATACAAGACAACGGGCGATTTCGTGGGATGTGCTGTAGGTACTACTTGAGACATCCAGCGCGGGCCACTAGGCAACATTTCCGCTCTGCCACGCAGCTCCTTGGCCGAATGGAACGACAACGGAAGGGTCTTTATCTAAAGAAGACACCTTCAAAAATTGTATGTTATCAAAAAGAATTTATTACTCACCATGTCGAGCGAAAGAAAACTGTCTATCTTCCCCATGCTTAATCCAGAGCGAAGTAGCCATGACCCAACTTCCCAGTCTTTCTGGCCACTGAATGGATTATACGGGTTCATTGCACGGTGTTTGCTGTTCTCGTCTGAATTGAATACGTCGAGGAACGTGTAGCCCCTGCCGTATGATCGAGCGCAGTCAGGATACGAGTCAATGACTTCTGAGTTACGAGTTGGTGTCCTCTCTTTGTAAGCCTGGAGCTCACTACTACTCCCTCCAAACATCTCATCCCAATCTCCAAAACCACCAGTCTCGATGTTGGGAATAGTATGTGGTCCATTGTCCATAGTATTAGTACTCACAGGCTCATTGTCCATATCAGACTCAGAGCGCGAGCATATCAAATCCTGCAGCCATGTACTGCAGCCAGAGCGAGGTTGGCTCATGTGCCGAGCAACGGCTACATCATCCTTGAAACCACCTTTCCCGCACAAAGGACACTGGAATGTCATATGTAGTACAATCGACGCGTGAGATTCCGAGGAAGCTGTAAGTAATACCTTGCGGAATCAATAAGCCATATTCTCAAAACACCCATGTCCAACGTACCAATCCACCTAAATATTTCTAGTGACGTACCATCATTGTCAAATATGCGCCCGCAAAACTCCAATAAGTGGCAAGTGAGCCGAACTTTTAGTGAGCCTCCCAGTAGCGGAATCGCTGACTTGTACGATGTGGTCAATGCTATTGGGTCAATGGTAAGTGACTGATATCTGACTCTTACTAGGCACTGCTCGTTAACGTGTGTACAGACCATCAATGACGTTAATGACTGTGAAGCCAACCTGATCATGGATCTCGCAAGGGCCCGACACGATATAGTTAATGCGGAGAAAAAACTTGCTGATTGCATCGTGCGAGAGCACGAGGTCATGACCAGTCTTTCAAGATACAAGTCTGTCATTTCCAAGCGGAAGCTTGACAAGGCCGATGTAGGACTAGGCCATATGCGTGTCACATTCAAAAAACACGGTCTTTCACATTAGCCAGCACATGGTTCTCTTGGTAAGTACTCTTATTATGTATACACTACCAACTAACCTTGTCATAGACTCATTCGCATCCTGCCGTCAGCTAACGATCCAGTTGGACTGATGCCTCGTCCCTTCTTTCAAATTGTGTCAAATAGTTTGTATTTAGCAGTACTGGTACTAGGCTAGTAGTATAGTAAATATGGACATAAAATTTTGTTCCATCTCGACACTTGAATTGTGTGACTTCTAGTACGAAATGTTTGATCCCATGGAACCAATTCATGTAGGTGAGGAGAAGACAACGGCGAGCGTAGTATACAGACTGTTATTGTAATTGATTGTAAAACAGCTGCAACGTCCTAAGGCGACCGGTCTGCTTGTTAAATTTTAATTTTACTAAGTACTTTCAGGTACTACTACTACTAGCGCTTGAGGTAGCTATTTTACTGACAAACACTGTGAGGCTGTACATCCTGTGAGCTCTGTCTCTCTGTGGGTTACTGTTGAAAAAAATTCAATGCCCGGGAGAAATGTGCTGTGAGTGCTGTCCTGCTGTGGGTTACTGTAGGTTACTGTCGAAAAAATTTGATGCCCCGGAGAAATGTGCTGTGAGCGCTGTCCCTCTGTGGATTACTGTGGGAAACTGTCAAAAATGTCGATGTCTGTGGGGAAATTTGTAGTTTACAGATGCACAGCATTGCAAATACCAAAACACTCGTCCATGTCGGGAGAAGTAGACACGGAGATGTCAGGATGAAAGGTACGAGCGCATCCGTCATGCAGCTGCTCGTGACATCGGCCAAGTGCCAAAGGTCTTAAACTCATTTACTATTTTCTTTCCTATTTTCCCCGTGTCCCCATAGTTTAAAACAACGTCCTAGACATGCACGCATCTCAGTCTCTTCCCGATACTGAGATGTAAGCCTTATATCGTTTCCTTTCCATTTCATACGAGCTAATATACCCTTAGAATATATTTGCTTGTCTAGGTGCCTATCTACGTACATGCAGAGTCTCTTCCCGATACTGAGATAATATATTTGCTTGTCTAGCTCCATTTCTCCTGCGTCCGCGTGCGACTTAGAACGACAGTCCACACCCGTACAGTGTCCATAATAAAGCCTAACGAATCCAATCAGCAACTAGCCGCGGGTACAACACACTCCAAACAGACTTACACCTGCGGTCATATAGGTGGTAGTCATTAGTCATTAGTGAATGAATAGATTGATAAAGAACCACACCCACTCCTAGTACAAGGCACGGCTGAGTGAAAGGGAATAGCAGGCATTTGTGCAGAAGACTCACTGTATCCGTCAGCGAGATGGTCAGAATAATGACTGTATGCTGTCAGTGAAAAAAACAAAGACAGTGAATGTACTAAGGAGACATACCAACCATGGACAGACTGGTTATAAGAGATAGACGATTAGTAAGACATCGATTGTTTACCCTTTTGAACATACGCAGCATATAAGATTCCAAGGTAGTGCACCTACAATACTTTCAAGTCAGTGCAACATGGAAACTGCGACAAACAGACTACATACACTGAGATAAAGAACAGTCATTAGGGACCAGTGTTGCCTCTGTAATTAAGTGTATTTTCATGTGTGTTCGTCTGACATGAAATGCTGCTCACCCAGACCAATTCGACCTATAACACTATTCTCAGAGAGGTGGCTGCTTCGGTGATAACATTGACATACCTCTAGTACGAATGTAAGTGCTTGAAATACTTGTAAGATATCAGCAGTCCTTCAGTTTCATCATGCTCACCCCAATCATATGCCACTCCAACAAAGGCAGCAACTACGAAACCGCAGCCAAGGTCAGATTGTGTCAGCTTCAGCATCTAACTGGTTTCCACGAACCTGCAAAATAGCTGGAATACTGATATTCATTGATGGACGGCCACTAAGTGGGATCATTTGAGACTACAGTCATATTGTTAGAGAATTGATGTGGGCGAGCTGAACTTGATGAATTATAGCGATAGCATATATACGTACTACCATCAGTGAATTCATGAGTCCTTGATATTGTAGCCATGTGAACTATAGAAGAATATAATTCTGCGGTTGCTAAATATACCCATTTATACAGTAAAAATTTTGAGCCATTGATACATAACCATTTATGCCTGCAAATATAGACTACGTTGAAGAGACTATGACAAGATCATGACTTCGCATCATCGTGCCCAGGAAGAAATAGAAGGGTCTTTACATTAACTTTGTTGGGTATTCTCATTTTCTGTTATTAGTGTCCTAAGCTACAAAGCTATAGAAGGCTTTATCGTGGAAAGTGGCATTAGCACCGGTCATCAAGTCTAGATAGGTATGAGAGTTTGCAACAAGATTGAGATATCGTGCTATCAGCCTAATTACATCTAACTTGTTGAGTAGTTTCATTGTCTTTGAGTAGTCCCATTCTGCATAACAAATGCTTCGCATTACCAAGCTATTTAAGGCTGCAACAAATTGAATTGTTGGTACATAGTCATGGATGCCAAAGAAAATATAGACTACAATGATGCAGTTCATACAAGATCTGTGACACGGCACAATCACAGCTAGTAAAGGATCATTGGCACTCGTGTACTAGTCTCATCAAGCTGGCCTAATAGAAATATATCACAATCATTATATTTCAATATATACGAGTGAGAGAGAAAAATGAACAATCTGCCTGGAAAGCCGCTACCACATCAGGAAATCATGAGTTTCCCTTTTCGGCCTAATGTCACTTTAATACAACTTTTTTCACTTATTTTTCAGACGCAACAAGTGGGCGACACGAAATTAAGTTGAAGGACTAAAATAAGTAAAATAAGTAAAATAAGAGACTAAGACAGGTGACTCGGAAATAAGTGTCTAAGTGAAAATTCTAATGATGGCTGCGATGTACTACCCAATACTATTTGCCCTCCCTGGGATCACACTTGACCATCTGGCTACCCGTTTCAAAGCATGAGAAGGTCATATCAGCAACAGAGTTCTGCTCATGGTGTGCCTTCCCCGCTGAAATGATGGGCACAAAGGTGACAAGAGGGAAATGAATGCGCGGGAAAGGAACAAGGTTGGTCTGGAACTCGTTCAAGTCAACGTTCAACGAGGGTGTAAGCACGCTGACTTACTAGAGTTCCCATTGTCTGCGGTACTGAAACATAAGCTTTCAGTATCACCGCAGAAAGCGGGCTTTGGTGAAGGGTATCGATGGCCATATGAAGGCCTGGTTGATGGTGAGTCCGGCAGAATATGGAGGGAAAGCGGGCTTTGGTGGCGAAGGATAGCGATGGCCATATGAAGGCCTACAAAGCAATTTCAAAGGCATGGTGATCTGCAAATTTGTTAACGTAGAAAAGTTTGAATATGTCGAGGACATGATAGAATTTGATTGATGGTGAGAGTGGGGTTGTACCGAATACTGGAATTAAGTGAGCTGCACGAAAGATAGTGTCAATGTAAATGACCACAAAGTGTGGGGTGTTTTGTGCTGCAAAAGCTGGCTTAACCATCCACATGCCGGTGTCGGGATCAGGAACATTGCCAACCTGACTGAATCAGCGGACCACCGCACATGGAATCTGTTTGCCATGCTGTTGAAGAGAAAAGAATGCCATGACACGGGCAACATCCATGCCCTGCATCCCGTGAGTGTCCGAGTCGGTGATCACAAACACGCAATCATTGCGTGCATACTCATTTCTCCATGAGGGACATGCACGAATATATTCGCGCTTCATGCCACCAATTCCACTAAGGTTGCTGGGTGCATGGAATGTCGATGATGCAGAGTTGAATATGGAAATTTGACCTCGATAGTGCGGGAACTCTAGGAGAGGGACCTCAGTGGGGTCGCGAGTATCTTTGGGATTGGACTGTTCGAAAAGGAACCATCAAACAAGGTCAGCCAAGTTGCAAATATCAAGCTCGGCGCTAAGCTCTGGAATCCTTTGCGCGTGTTTTGTACCTTCTATGTACTTATTCTCAGTAATTGAAATAAAACCTGATGGGGTGTGCTTATGGGGTGTCTTAGCGAGTTCAACATGTGCGAGGACTGAGGTAGGGTCATCAATGATGTCAAAGTCTTCCTTCACATCTTCTCCAGGGGCTGACAAGACGGGTAGCTCATGTTGGCCTGCATTGTGATGTTCTCTGGAGGCTTGCATGTTCAACACAGTGAGAACAGAAGTTAAACATGTGCCGTTAAGCATCCCACGCGCATGAAAATCTTGGCATGATGCAGTCAACTTGTCCAGACATTGGTTGGTCACGAGCATCTGGCCTAGTGCTTTGTAGCGACTGGACCACCTCCATGGTTCCTTGACAGCTTTGATGTGCTTACTTTCTGTGATAGATGAACAAAGTCCGTTCGGTGCACCGAAAAGGCGAATGAGGGTGTTGTAATGCTTTATCGAATGTTGTCGAGGGAGTGAGAAGGTCTGAATCACATCGGAGGTCTTCAAAATCTCACGATACTGATGGAATCGAGCAACTGCATCATCGATTTCTTTGAGAGACGTCTTCGTGATGATGTTGCAGCGGACAAGGTAACAAAACTCAAGGAGTGCGTGGAATGCACGGACAATATCCGTTGGGACATAGCCTTCGATTGCTGGCAGATATACCTAAATGATGTTAGCTGAAAAAACTGAATTGAATGAGACGAAAGATACAATACCTTCATAAGAGCTTTTGAGTCATCCCCGGTCCACTGTTTGAAGTTGCGTCCTTGAGGAAATCTGCGCAATCCTGAAAATGCAGGCACTGCTGCGATTCTGTTCAGAATACTAGTAAGCCTGATGATTCATACTCAACATCATGTTTGACGTACCTTCTATCAATGTCATCAAGTATGACATCAGCTCGTGCTTGACCATATGTAATCACAAGGTATTTTTCAACCCAGGCGACCAAGTGATCTTTGAAGGCCCCCTTTATTATTTGATGGAGGAGATCCGGTGCAATGAGTTCATTTATGTCGGCTTGAGGGAAATCGTTTGTGAATGGCTATATCATGATGAATAGGTTAATTTTGAGTAAAAGAGATGCGCTGAGACTTACCACAAGTTGAGCGATTATTCCATACTCATCCCAAAGCAGAGAGTTTTGCTATTTGAAGTACATCTACAATGGAATTAGAATCAATACAATAAAGAGGCCGCAAGTACTTACTTTGCACACCATGATTGGACTATGCATGTGAGTAAAACCTGTTCCTCATAGTCCACGATATATGGGCCAAGTCCATAGATTACATGGCGATAATGGCCATCACCGAAGCGCACGACTTCAGGCTTCATCATCCCAGGCTTCAAGTTCTGTAGTATAAAGGAAAGTGACAAATGAAATAGTTGGTGATGGAATTTGCGGAAAATTGCAGTTTTAGCATGTTGTTTCGTTGCTACAAATATTGTAAGGTTAATGAAGATACGCGATTGAAAAGGAACTTACTCTTTGGCATTGCTAAAAATCCGACTACTGCAACTGCACCACGGTGAGCACGATGCACATTATTGTGAACATTTCCTATGGATGCATACAGCGGGTAATAGTCATTTTGCCCGGTGGCAACTGACACTGTGGTTTTATCACTGCTGAGGATTACAGGCACGAACGTCGAGCCATGAGTGTCTGGATCCTCAGCAATTTGATCCTGTGTGTAAATTTTAATTAAGTGAACATTGAAAGGAAGAGACTTACTGCTTGATTCCAAGCCCAGTCGCCCGACATAAAGTCCTGCCATTGGCGCTCATCCATTTCTGTTGCGAACTTGCGGTAAGGTCACAAATCAACTTTTGTGGCATAGTCAGGATTGGCAAGCATATTCTGAACAACTTGATGAGGATCGCGAAACCACACATCATAGCTCTCAGTCATCCAGGGTGTGGGGTCTCTATCTGGAATGTCTCCAGTGTATTTGACCGAGAACGACTGCCATTTAACATCACCTAAAGGCGTGTTGTCGATGGTCCTGTAGACATCACGATGGTCTTTGAATGGTACCTGTGATAGGTCAGCGCCAGCTTGGATTAGCGATGCAGCCCACAGGTCAAGAAGGTGGTCGATTTGTGCTGCGGGTGTCTGATTTTTGGTGAAAATATAGTTGGCAAGCTCGAATTCCAACCGATCATGGTAGGGAGTCCAATCGTTGGGGCATTTTTCTGAAAGTGGCAAAGGCAGGGCTCCTGGCGGAAGAAAATTCCCTTCAGGATCACATGGACGACCTTTGAAGATTAAGTATATTAGATAGAAAACGTGAAAACTAAAGAAAACGTACCGGTTAAACTAGGATGGTAGTTTCTATATAAACGGTCACCAGTACCAACGAATTCTGCAGGTGTGGGTGATTGTACAGAATGAGGGATCTCAGAATGGTCCTCTTCACCGGCACCATCAGATTGTATGGGATCAATGTCTCCATTAAAAATAGGTGAAGGAGAACGATTGAACTGAGACGGATCATCTAGATGTGGCCGAGTAGACTGAGATGGTTCTGCACATAAGGGTGGTGCAGCACTAAACAATGGATGGGCTGTGTTCATATGCTGTGTGTATCCAGATTTGTTCTTGAACCAATGGTTGCATCCTGGTTTGGTGCAGGGAATGCGAAGGATGCTGAAATCTCGTCTAGAGTGCGGCATGGCAAAGATGGCAACTAAAAAATAGCAGTAAGTTTTCAGTACACAAATCAGTATCACACAATCAACGAATATGTGTCAAGGACAACGAAAAGAGCTTAAATCATGTGCAAGTACGACAGCGTTGTTTGTCTGAGTTTAGACTCGGAAAGGTTCATGAGGCACTTACTAAAGTGTTGAATTTTCTCGTTGATCCTGCCGTGCTCCTTACATCCAACTGTCTTGCAATTGCTGTTTTCCTGCCTGCTATGGTTTCCACTCGTCCTAAAAATGCGACTCAGCGCCCTGGTGAAATTGTGAAACAAGCTACAAGAAAACGACGCACAGCAAAAGAAATTGCGGTGGACAATCAGCAGGCCAGAGAAGCGCAGGAAGCACAGCAATTAGCCGCCAAAAACGGCATCAAACGTGTTGCAGAAGTCGAGGCATTGGTGGAGATAGAGCAGGCAGGAGTGATAGCAAAGGTGATGCCTGTAAAGCCTCGTCCAAGGCCGGTCATACAGAAGCCATGTGTCACCAAAGATACCCCTTCAAAGAGCCGCGACGTGTTAGGAACTGAGACCAGTCTTCAGGCTAAAGGTGACCATACCTTAAAAGGCGTTGCTGACGATAACACGGGCACAGATGGTGATTGCGAGCTCAAGCTGCCAGTGGAGTCTGAGACCAAGCCGAAGAGGAAGAAGAAAGAGAATCTTTTGTTATGCAAAGCTGTCAGCGCCGTGAGGTTGAAGAAGCAGAATGAGAACTTGAATCGGCCTGATGATCTGATCAAGGCTGACCAGCCTGGGAGATCCATTGATGGCAAGGCACATGGCCCTGACAAGAAAGGAAAAAATGTCAATACCGAGTCAGTGGCATTCTGTCTCACACCATCATGTTAATACTTACCGAGTCAATGCTTTACTTTTTGGACTTGACCTCAAAATTCAGAAGCAAGAAATTCAGCCTGTCAGGAACAGTCAACAATTGGCTCGATAAATGCAAACCTCATTCAAAGGGGAAATCCTCAAACTCCACCCCCATTACTAGTAGGACTGGAACGAGCGACGTTCCTGGCTCAACAACAGATTCAAGACTTACCAGAATAACTTCAGCAATGACTTTCTCACAGGCAACAGAACCCCCACCTACACCATCCAAAACTAAACCTAAGGTCACATGCTCTGATGACGATGGCGACTCTGGCGATGATGACAAGAGCGATTCCGAAGAGCGCGCTGTCATTGTCACAGAAAAAGGAAAAGGAAAGGCTGTAATGAAGGTAAGTGCGGTGATTATAGGCGATAATCTAACTTACCATCTATTTCAGACTGTTATTGAAATTGAGAGTGGTACAGATACAGAATTTCACACAGCTCCTATCATGGTCACCAGCGCGAAGGTACGTTCAAATGCTCATCAAGATCTGTACTTACCATACATTTTAGCCAATTATCGCGAGTCCCCAGGAATCTGATGCTGACAACAGCGATGTTTTGAGCCTGACATCCAAGTCAAGCAATATTCCTTTCGTCGACTTGCCCTATGAAAAGCAAGTAGAGATCGTTAGCTTCGCCTTAGAACAAGCCCCACGTACTGGCAAGAGGAAACTTGAGGAAGTTGTGCGTGAGTTGGGACTTGGAGATGACTCGATTGATTATGAGGATGATGTGATGGAGTTGGGATTGGATAGCCTTATAGAGCTCAGGGACGACACTATGGATATCGACGACGAGATTGAAGATGCTTCTTCCACTGCCAAGAAGGGTTTGAGAGGAACTAACAGTGCTGGTCACACCACTGCAACAGTAAGTCATTCGTTTTCACCAACGTCTATTCTAACAGTGCAACAGACAAGTGTGATGGCTGTCGAGAAACCGTTGGTCCTGCGGCCGGCCAAGAAGGCTAAATCAGAGCCAGCTACCCAAACTTTGACGACAATGACAAAGGTACCACACCCGGCCAAGAAGGTCAAGTCAGAGCCCACTTCCGAAATATCAATGAAACCTGCTGTTCCCACTGTGCCAGAGTCAATGCTCGCAGACATGGCAATCAAACCAGCGGCAGGCAATGGCCAGTGGCAAAACACGGACCTCCCACCCATGCTAACAGAGAACGGTTTGTGGCGTAGGCAA